CAGTACTAACCCGATCAATCTCGGCTATAGTCGCCCCTATACCGCGAGGAATATGGGATCCTTCACACCAGCACTGTTGTCTAACTTCCGTTCATCCGCTAGTTTGACGATCGCATGCCATTCACTGGACGGGTACACCTGACCATTAAAGATTTAATTCTCATGGACACTGGACAGAATCGCCCGCTAATCTTGGTGCCTCTGGGCTAGGAGGGTCTGTCGACAAATTCCACCTCCTCCAGATTAAAAGTTCTTGTACCGAGACCTGGTAAATCGCAGCCAGCAACTCATCTCTGTGATTCCAGTGCGGGCTCGCCACATGATGTGGCTGTGTACTCTGTACAACCAAGTGATGCTTTTCCCAAAGGCCTGCCGTGCCTCAAGGAGTACCCTGGCTGACTGCATGTGTTTCTCATCGTTTCAACGCCGTCAAGGGGTAGTGGGACTAGAATGATGTCCTTGCTTGGAGACTCGGTTACGCCGAACCCCCTAATTTTGGAATGGCTCCAAGACGGTCCATTGGGGTCCGGTATCGGCCCAAAAGGCCATCATGATGTGGCTCGGCTGTTAGTTGATTATCATCGATTCCCCTGTTTGCTCGTTCATATCCCTACACCGAGTACCCACACCTGGCCACAAGCAAAGCCATGGTGGAATGCACTGAATGATTGGCAGTAACAAGCTACCTGGGACCTTGCAACCCTCATCAACAATCTGAGCCCTATTTGAGCCCCTGCCTCACCCGCATTTAGCGCCCAAGAGTGGCTTGCAAGCACACCCTAGCTTTTGCCTGGATCCTGGCCATGCTAATACCGCAGAATGGCAATAAGGCTAGCACCACCGCTCTATCCAATGCCATCTACAAGCTTTTAACCAAGATGCAGAGGCACCAGTTTGTAATGTTCCAGGCCATTTAGCTAGCCTGAGGACCTTCATCTTTTGGTTGTAGAGATGAACTTGAGGGAGTCAAGGGTAGATCAGTGTTGTGGACCGGCGCAGGACGCATGCATCTGTTCGCGGAGTTTCGCTTATTCGTCGGCGAAGTCGGAACGGGATCAGGCCTTGATAGTCTCCACGAAGGTAACCCAGGCAGGACGGGCTCCATGACGTCTGCACTTTGATGGATCCAGGAATGTCCCTTTGAATTTAGACCGTACTATGGCCCTTCCGCTGGTGTGCTCGTCATACCAGGCGTGGCCTGTTACTCGAGTGTCTTTGACGCACATCGTTATGATCCTAAAGTTTTAATCACCAGAGCACATCTGGACAGTGTGTCAGGTAGAGTTGTTTGGGCTCCAGCAGGACCTATCTGATCCTTACATGACGGACAACTATCTGACCCACTAGACGTGCTTGACTACAGCCCTGGTCGGTCCCTTTATAACTTGTGTGACTCTGGCGCTCGTCCTTCCTGGGCCATGGCTTGCGGTTCTAGCGGGTCCCACGCGTGGGATGTCAGTCATTATAGCATACGCCGGCGACTTTTACAAAACGACATGGGCTTATACTTGCAGTACCACCAGAGCGATAACGCATGCGTCTTACAGTCACGGTGTCTTGCTAGGACATCCAACCTGGTTCACGCTACCCTGGCTCCATGGTTAGGGGGAACAAGTCTCCAGAGGTTCCTGATGCTCACATGGTCCGTACAACGCGAGAAACGCGCCTTTTCAGGCAATATACTGTTACTACCGTTGCCGTATTAGCGGAACTTGCTCTCATTTCGACTAGAACAGTCTCCCTAGGCACAAGGGTAACTATATGCTTATCTATACCTAGGCGCGATGCTTGCATTATGCTGACGCACTTGGAGGCAAGTCGTGGGGAACCTCGCAGGTGCCTTGGCTTCGAGAACCTGTTCTCATCATATAGAGAGTGGTCACACGGATATCGGGCATGAGTGATCCTGCCGGTGGGATCACTAATGGCAACTGGCAAGATCCCTTCAACATTTGTTCTCTCGCATAGAAAGCTCGCCCTTTCAAGCGCGATACGTTGCCACCGCTGCTATGCGGGCTTCCTGCGTGGGCATTGAGCACTCGCCTCGCCGCTCATTGGTCAAGTAGCCACACAGCACCTCCTTCCTCTTCCTCTCGTTTTAAGACAGCCTCTTGCAGTGTACACTCTCGTATTCTTTGCTCTTCGCTATAGACAAGGTTGATTGGATCTACTCCGTCCTTTAAAGCTAGTCATCGGTTTATTGCCCTCTACAAAAGCGAGGATATTAGAGGGTCAGAGGGAAGGCAACGCGCATGTGATATGTGAGCGTTCGGCAATATTAGTTTATGATGGGGTGAGCCTATTCTAACGAGACGCGCAATTTCCACTGCCCGGGAATGGTATACTCAATTATCGTTTGCCGTTACTAGAGTAAGAGCATATAGGAGAGCATCCGTACAAAATACCGGAGGACGACAAGTTCACGAGACCAGCTCGGGTTGTCTGTCTCTGGCACAGACCTCTTTTCCCCATCTTCCGTGTTGAGCTGTCTAGTCGATGCGATGAAGTAGCGGTCGTCCTTTGCACCTGCAAGCTCTTGTGCCACCCAGCCAAAGACAAGTCAGACAAAGCCATGGGACCTGTACAGTCCCGGGGACGCCAGTCTCGCAATATCCACAGACTTAGTCTAATGGGGCCTGTCATCGTTGCCCAGGCAGGTCCGGCCAACCTGTGGCTTGCCGCATTGTTCATGAGAATAGAAGGCATGACGTGGTGTTTACACTAATACTTCAGACTCTCGATCTCAGTACACCTCAGGGTTGACGAGCCTGCCACCGAGCCTTGGAAGCGCGGGGTGGGTAAGAACCCGTCCTATCTCTGGGCATTCATCCTGCGGAAGTAAAAGCCGCATCCGGATTCAATTGCGTTGGTCACCTTGCCCCTGGAGCTGTGGGTATGACTTTTTACATATTATGCAACAGCGGGAGTTCACACAAAAAGATCAATTTGGGCACTCAAACCTAACCTACTATAGTAGGTATACATCGGCCGATATCTTTCCACCAACCGCAACCCGTGCACTCGCGGTTTTATCCCACTAGGAGAGGTATCTAGGATGGGACAGTCCCACAGTGCTTAAGCGTTGAAAAGTATATAAAAGGCACTCCCATCACTAGAGAATAGGACGCTTACCTGCCACCGTCTCCTAGACACTATTAAGAATAACACCCTACTATATCTTAATCCTACTAATTTTCCTTACCCTACCTACACTGGTCCCTAAAGGTGGAAATAAAAAAAGACCCATAATCCACCATTTTATAATCCTACATGAGTACCTCTGGTCTACAGTTTCAGGAAGTGCTCCCTCCAGCCCAAAATCCCGAGCAATGAGCATGTTGCGCGAATGCCACCGAATATTATCCGGATAATCATACGCATCCACCAATACACTGAAATACTCGCCTGCTATCTCGCTGGTAGCATCGACGCAGCGCAAATGACCATTTCTGCCGACCAGCGAAACTCGATCCAGCGCCTCCATCCTCTCCCTCCCATGGTTCGATGAAGTCAAAGTTAAAGCGGGCTGGCTATATCTACTCGCAATTTGAGCACGAGGCCGTGCGTGTCAGCTTACTTTTATATAGCTTTCTCGTGGTATTCTCTGTCCCCTTCGCCCACGGGCCCTATTCATAGTTGGGAGAACAGCTCCAGAGCATCATTACTGATAAAGCGGCCTCAAGTCTTGCAAAAGATATTGTGCTCTGGGCTGTCGGTCTCGGAGCCATTTCAGAGTCTGGGGATGAAGAAAGTGGGCAGTGGTTTGCGAGAAAGTTACGGGAGCTTATATCACAGACGGTGATATCGAGCTGGAATGCGGACAAGGCTGCTGTTCTGTCTGTCATCTGGCAGGATAGTGAACTAGATCCGTTCATGCAGTGGATATGCCTCTCTCACATTTCAGGAGTCTAGAAGGCCAAGAGTCGCTTTGTTGTCTCTGAAGGAATACCAGTAGCGGAAGAGCAAATGATTACTTCGCTGCATTTAATGTGTGGGCCTAGTTAGGCCGGTGCCCGGGCTCCGGCTTGCATCGTTCCATACACTGACTGTCGAGACATGTTTGGTAATTCTCGGAACTCTACTTTAACACTCACCTAGAAGAATTCATTTCTGATAAAAGCACCTCTAAATCACGAGTGAAAGTCGCAATGTTGGAGTCACAAATATGTCAAGCTATTTTTCAGCTTCTAGTCCGGGAGATATGTCTAAAGACCTATGCTGGGAATATCCACGAGCGTATTCTCGCTCTTTAGGGTCCTTGGATTAGATCGAGGAAAGCAAGGTGCTGCTTCCCAGATTTTTCCCTTTTTTTTTAATGCGCAAGCTCCTGGAGCTTTGTTAGTGTAGATGTTAGTGTTCATGGTACTGAGGATGCTGCACTGGTTGCTAAACCCGCGCCCAGCACCCCGCCCAGCGATAGACTAGAGGGTGTCGCCATTGATTGACACTAGGATGTTTAAATCTAGGACTAGCCTTGATAATTCAGCCACTGTTTAGCTTCCTAGCGGGGATGGAATCGGGCGACATAGATCATCAAATACCGCTCATGGCCAGAGCCGATTCGACGAGGGATACGGGCAACATCTTGGCGATCTGCTGTATTGGTGCCAACACGTAGCTAAGGAGCTGGGCATTCAGAGCTGAGCCGCAAGCCCAATCAATGGCCCACGCGATAGACCCTGGTCGAAACCTCACCTATCACCGCGGGGACATCAGTTGGGAAATGTTGGGAAGGCAGTCGGCGGCTACAGTCACATGTGGCGAGGCTCTATCACTCGGTTGAGATGGGAGTGTGTGGTCAGAGACGGTTATCCAGGACATGTATAGTCAATCAAGCTCCCCTACTCTTTCTAGATGTACTACAGTCGAGCTAACGCATAGTGAGTCTTGAATGTAACGGCAATTCGCATGCGGTCCCCTCCCATTTGAGACCTCGAGGGCATCAACTCCATCCCCACCCCAGCAAAGCTCCTCAGCCAAATTCTCCTCCGTCAATCCACCTACCCCATCGCTTCCCTCTCCGACTTCCTCGTCCTCTCCTCCTCATGAGGATACCCCTTCACTTCAACCTTCATCCAAGGCCGCTCCGGCAAACCCGACACCAGCGTCGGCTGTTGATTAATCAAAGCCGCATCACGTTCGTGCTTAGCTCTCGCCTCGGCTAGGGCTGCCAGACGCTCGCGCTCGCGTTGCATCTCTTCGGCCCGCGCGTCAGCAGGACGAGGACGACGGCAAGGTCGGACAATCCACTGCCAGAGCAAGATCGGCGCCGAGGGAATAATGACGCAGGTCCAGCACGCGCACGCATCCTGGAAATCGTCGATGTTTTCAATGCGGCCCGGCCAGTTGCCGGTCTGCCTGGGATCGGGGTTCCAGAATTTGCGGTGGCAGCATTTCATTGTGTGGTGAGATAGGTAATCTCTATCTGTCTGGGAGGAAGCCTTCTGCAGTGAGATACGGCTCGAATGGGTGGGGATTATCACCCTCCGGCAGACTGCTATTGTTGAAAGATGAATTCTAGATGAGATATCTGGCTGGCGAGGCGAGATGCGGTCGGATTAGGCCACCGCGGCCAAGAGAGAGACGAGGTGGTGTATCACATGTTATGGCGCTACGAGGCTTGGCCTGGCCTCCATATATCGTCACAACACGAGCGGCTTTCATTCGGCAGTAAGACTTGATGGCGTTGCAGAGCCATATATTTAATTCGATCCAGAAATGTATACCTAGCTGGTGTAGTTGTCCGCTTGTCCGCCCCCTTGACAGCACCGTAACTTTTGCTTACAGGCATATAGAATCGAAACAAGCCACCCTGAGAAGGTGTTGATACTCGACCACAAAGCTCCGTACAATGCATGGCAAACGCTAATGCATCAGACTCGCAATCTAGATTAGACGGGGACACTCCAAATTCCCAAACCGCACAATAGCACCGTCCTGCATAGAAAAGAATAAATAAAAACTCTTAATTAGTAGGTCTACTGGACAATTCGAACCGCAATAGAAATAACGAAGAACTCTCCAGGATATCAGCAGAGCTCCAAGTAGGAGAAAGGGGGAGTATTATAAAAGGGCACTATAGTACCTCAACCTTCCCCGTTACGCCAACGAGGACAATCCCTCAATGACGCAAAATAGCCGCGATTCTACCTGACAGGTGGCTGGCCTCCCGCCGTAAAGCCCCCCGGGGTTGAAATAGATCTGTAGATATAGCAAGGTAAGTGCATAGATGAGAAAAAGTAGGTGAATTGAATTAGCAGGTGGTGGGTCCTGCAAGGTTATATAACTTGCATCCAATAATGGAACGAATGATACCCTGGTTATTTACCACGTTATCGTTATCTAGTAACGACTTCGTCGTCGTGGTTGTTGTTGATTTGGTTGTAAATAGTTCGACTAGTAATCCACTGCCCGCGCTCGAGATAACATGTTCCAACTTTAAGAGAGTCCCCAGTGAGTTAGCTGTGGTTTTGTCTTGGGCAATTACAAGTAGGGTCTAGGATTTGCGTGCATTCATTATCTGCGACAAATATATAGAGCAACAGGTTTGGCGTCCATCATTCATTACTAGACCACGAAATGTCTTGTCTCGGAGAGAAAGAGGGGAGTGACGCGTGGTCGGCAGCAGACAGCTAGTATTCCACGACCCAGAAATAGTCTTCAATATGTAAGGGCTTAGCGACTAGAAAAAACATCTACATAGAGGACAGCCTGCCAGTTTGTTCAGGAGCAAACTCTGGACAGACGACACTGGGCCCTTCACATCAATGTTTAATGCAGCTCTCCAGACAGATCATGATCAGTGTGTTGGTGGAAATACAAGGTCAGGTCAGTAAATGAAGGATTGAACTATGATAGGCAGGAACACTTCCCTCTTGCGTCTAAGCGCACTCCACGACAGTGAGACTTGACAGAGATGCTCGCGGCGTGGCTTGGCCAACTGGTGGAGAATCGTCCAACCCGATCGAGCCCTAACCCAACGACCAACGACGGGGTTCATTTGAAATTGGTGATCAAGGGTTCGATTCCTCGGCTCCACTTCCCTCTCCTTGGCTGTCCAGCCCCTATCGAAGAGCGAGCTCCAAATATCACCTGAATATCCCACCAGAGGCGTGAACACCCTATGTTTTCTGCCACTCTTCCTTTGCCTGCGTGCTCCCTCCTTATCGTGAAAAGAAGAGCCCAAACCACCACCAAGGATGGCTGGCACAGAACTGCCAGAAGGGCTGAAAATGTTTGTTCGCTAATTCTCCCCATTCATTCATTTCCAAAAATTCTTCGCCACTAATCTGCGTCTGCCAGTATATTGGTCCTCGCAACCGCCCTCTCTCTCATTCCGCACTTGAGCCACCTCTGGTGGACGACAACCATTGTCGGCCTTTCAACATTCTCCGCCCTTTTGAATGGGCTTCTTACTACAAATGGGCTATTCACCTTCATCCGCACTTTTACCCGGAAGCCTGATGAACATGGACCTTTCATCCGCAGTCCCGTCAGCAATGAGGACTGGCTCAATTTTTTGCAAAGACCCGTTAGATTTCTGTCACTTTTGGCCATGTGAGTACAGCTCTGCACAGCTCTGCTCGCCTTGAATGGCAGGCATTTAGCTAGGTCCCTTTCTATCTCTCCGACCCGCCCCGGAAAATGACTCCTGAAAGTAATAAACGGGTGCATAGAACCATGGTCCCCTTAAGCTTCCTCCGCATGATCATGTACCACTCGACTGGAAGCAAGTGGGCTAAGGCAGCGGCAGTCATCATCCATACCATATTCTCAATCTTCGCCCTCCTCCCCCAACTCGACTTGATGATCTCCGAGACCCCTCGGATGGGTCATGGTGACCTGGTCATCGACCTGTTCTTCATGCCAATCTGGTCTGTAAACATTCTGTTGGCAATGCTCGCGGCCATCCTCCCCGTCTACTTCCAAACTCGTCAAGGCGCCCGTTTACGAGGAACCAACAATCCCCCTGCACTTACATACACCGGGCTCTTCAGTGACGTTTGCCTTATCCTTCAGGTCGCCATGTCTTGGAACTTTTGTACCTCCTGGCCGTGGCGCATCGAGCGGATCAGTCAGGTGCAAGCTGCGGCAGCCGCTGCTTCTTATTCCCCTACTCGGTGGTTTAAAGTTGTGCGGTGGGAGGATTGGCATATTGTCGCTTATCTGGGGTTCGCTCTAGGGCAGTGTGTCGTGTTTTGTTTGCCGTTGTGGGCTCGGTATAGACGGGGTCCACAAAAACTGCCTCTATTCAAACAAGGCTTGGCCTAGTTGGTCTTGTCGAGTCGTATAAGCCAAAAAGGAGGCAATGCCACTTCCTTTAAAAGCGTATTGAACAAATGGATGGAATTTTAAAATTACCTGAATTTACACTGGACTAGTTAGCTACAACTAGAAGCAACATCTCCAAAGTTAGAGAAATAAAGTTTAACTTAGACGCGTTGCTGTCACTTCTAGGACCTCTATGAAACTATTTTACCAGAGATACTTTATATTCTAATTTCTTACAGCGGGTGCCCTACCTGGTTCGTTGGAAGTTCTTTATTAAGGCCCTTAGCCTCAACCACTAGCATGGTTTTATGATCGGCCATATCCTCTAATCAACGCAGTAATTGGCAGCACATAAACAACGTGTAATCGCTTAATTTAGTCTTTGTCCTTGTACAGGGAAGTGGATATATCAACTCAACTGAACAAACTGATCCAATGAGGGCTTTTCCCTCCTTACGGGAATACCTAGAGCTGGCATACTAATTTGCTAGTTCACCAATAAAGCTCCGCCCAAAAGCTGGATGTGGATATACCACTACGCAATCCCGGCAGCGGCGCTATGTTTAAGCTTGGTGGATGCGGAGGTAGACTAGAGGGCTTTCAATCAAAGACTTATGCGCGGGCTATACCTCGCACAGCGGGAGATTGTTCAACGCACCCCACCCCCCACCCCACCCTCCTCTAATACATCCGTGGACAGGAATTAGTCTGCGCTCCATACCTTCCTGGCCCTAAGAGAGTCCTTCTGTGTACGAAGCTCAAAGACCCAGCAATCTGGAAAATTTCCCTGGGTTACGTAAGAACACTGTCATTCCCTTGCCTTCCATTCTCTCCATCTGGGTAAGATAATCAACGCATGCAATACACCACATCGGCACGTAAAGAGCCAGAGAAATATACAGGTTGTGTTGGGTTTTCATCTACTGGCGCTGACATGTCTAATGGTTTCAACGACGATGCAACGAGAATCGTCAGAGGGGGTCGGTTGACTCGCTCTTTTTCTACCACAACCTGGGAGCTCGGGCTGACTGACTCTCAGCGAGAGCACATGCCGTACCAACAATATAACACGCACGACCACCGTCTCACCCGCCGTCCATGCAGGCTGTTCAGCCTTGACGCGTAAGGGGTCTTTGAGACGGTCAGACCCACCTTTCTAAGGTGTAGCCAACGTTAGCAAGTCCCTGGATCACGTATGCACTCCCAGAGGGTGTATGACTGATTTCATGTCTTGCCACATTGATCACACATCATTCGATGCTGTGAGAACCTGGCTATCTGTTATTGGTGCTATTTCTGGCCTGGATTTTGACTGGTGATGTCGGTTGCGGTTGTATAAACCCAGTAGATCGAACGGGGACGGGGTCGTATGCGTCGCAGACAGTCCAATCTCCATCTTCAAGTTCACTGGGCGATTCGGTATATGATGATCATGCGCCAAGGCTTGATAGAGGGCGTCGAAGAACTAGCAGAAGATGCGAGGTCCGATCCTGTGGTTGCTGAAAAGGGTTGAAGGTTACCCGCCAAAGAACCAGCGGAAGAGTCTGCATGATAGCCGTCAGTCAGTCTAATGAGGAGAACATAAGGCATTGGCTCGACTACTAATTCTACGACTCAGGTGCGGGGTTTCATAGCGCTGGAGAGTGGTTTGACATCAGAACCAAAAGTAAGGATGGCTCTGAAATAGTAATAGTTCCTGCGATATAGGCGAGCAGTGATGGGACTTTTGAGGTTGCTTTCGATTCTGGAACATTGAGGTTCTCCCTGGAAGGGACAGACTACTATTGGATGAGGTTTGTACCTGTTGGGCCTTTTATCGAACCGCACTATGCTTAGTGTACGCAATCTATTATACTTCACGGAATTTTGTACATACATCCAATAGTAACTGATAATATCTTCAGTGCCATGATAAGCTGTACCTGACACGCTATGATAGGAATTGCCCAAACGCCTCGCTAAACGCCAAGAGTAAACCGCATTGCCCGAACGCATAGTTCAAAATCTCCCAGTTGCAGGTCATGGCCGTGATAGTCCATGGTAACTCGCACCCTGTAAGCCCCTGCACTACAGCACGGCTTCGCGCTGACCACCAGAACAAAAATAACTCTCTAGTTCAGCTTCGCCTCAATGTGACCTCTTCTCATCAACCGGCGACGGCAACGACGAAGCAGGCGTATACGCCGGCGGCGCCGCATCCGAGTCACAGTCGCCCGAGTAATCGTTCGGCGACAAGTCCTCGGCAGAGGACTCGGAGCTATAAGTCCTCGTAGGTAGCTCCGCAAATCCGCGGGCCTGCACATGTGCCCGGCCCTTCACGTCGCCACGTTCAATGTCCAGATTGCCATATTCCTGCGGACTCGTGGGAGGAGTAGCTGCAGCCGCACCAGCACCAGCGCTCGCAGCAGCGATAATCTCAATCGGGAGATCGGGACAGCTAAACTCATTCGTCTTCCCCACGCACTCGAAAACAAACGACGCGCAAAGTCTGTACCGGCGACTGATGTTAAACGTCGCAAAGGAGACGATTTCGTGCCGGAGAACAAGCAGGCCAAATACCTGCGCGAGATCGATCGTTCCGGACACCGGCATCCCCAGCGCCGTCCGCGAGAGAACCTCGATCTTCTCTTCGATCTCCGCTGACATCGATCCGACGAGTGAGGGTGTCGCCCGTGCACCCGTCTCGCTAACCACGTAGATGTTCAAACTCTGCAACAGAATCTCCGGCGCAAGCGCGACCGAACTATCCTCCATAAACGGCGTGACATCCAGAGAACACGTCAACGGCTCCGCCTGGATAAGTCTTGTCGGATACCGAAACGTCGCCTTGAAACTAAACCGCGGTAACTGGCCCGGGGAAAGCCAGCTCGAGATCTTCTCGCTGACTTTCAGCGTGCGGCCGCGGTTCTCCATATGCAGCAGCTTACTCCGGATGGTGAAAAGCTGCTCCCTCTCGTGCCGATACACCGCGGACTCTTGATCGTTGGGCGTGATCGATTTCGCGAGCGCGGGGAGGAAATTCAGCTTCGCTGTTTCGGTGTATAGCGCCGCCCCCTTCTTGCTCTGAAAGATCCCCCCCGCGGGCTTGAGAACCGTCGCCTCGAGCCGATAATCAATCCAGCACTCCAACTTCCGACTCGCGTCCCCTGTACTCAGCGCAAAGGACGGGGGACACATGTGGCCCGCGTCATTGCGATAGGGGACCTTTTCCGGCCACCGCGACGAAGCGGACGCCGTCGGCTGGACATGATTCGGGAAAATAAACTCAAACGGCCACTCGTAGGATCCCGGAGCGAGATTCTCCCCGGTGGAGTGTTGGCGCAGGATGCGCTCCTGCTCGAACAGGATGCATTTGCTTCGGTAGGTTGCGGCGGGCGCGCCGGTGCCCTTTACTTTTTGGATCTTGGCTTTGGAGCGTGCGGCGAATGTGATTTTTACGGCGGAGAGGGGGATGGGCGTGGAGGTTTGGAATCTCACGGTCCCTGTTACGGGGTCCGTGCCTAGGTAGCAGGTTTTTTGGTTGGGGATGTTGATTGTCAGGCCCATTGCGGTTGGTCGTTGAGCTGTGCGATCGGTGGAAGGTTACCTGGCTGGTTCAGTGCGTCGCGATCAGGAAGGCATCCAGGCATGCAGTCGCGTATGTGGAGGACTCATCGAGAGAGAGCAGAAACTCTCGAGCCGAATCTCGCTGCCTGGGGCGCTGTGCTTACTTTATAACAGCCTAGATTACAGCTTACTCGCGGCTCGCAAAACGCGCCCTCAAAACGGATTCTCCAGAGTCCCTGAAATCGAGTATTGCACCAATCACACCGCACCGTGGAAACGAATACGTGAAAGTTTCCTCAGGCTGCAGGATATTTATCGGGTCTGATGGGGCGACCTTTCCGTCGCTAATTTTAGAGCCAATCGTTATTATTGGTTGGTTTGCCTCGTATATTCCTGGTTGAGCTGGGGTCCAGACTCGGGTCGGACTCGAGGGGCAGGGCACTCCGTATTCTTTGGCTCCATGGTCTTTTTGCTCGTATTGCTGAATGAGGATATTTGTCTTGGAGAAAAGGGTTCAGCACTTATCCATTCCTCGTGGTTCTAGATTAGAAGCTTAATTTGGTGGATTTGATTTTAGGCTGGGGGCGACATTTGTGTACTACACTATATCTTGGGCAAAGACTACTGAAATTGTGTAAAAGCCTTTGTATAATAATCCACCGGTTGTAAAATAAATAGGAAGGACAGTCTCGTCTCGATCATCGCCCGCTCGATCGCTGATGAAGGGATTGTATGTGTAGAAAGACTCGAAACTACAGAACCCATGAGTCAGCAACCTCTCATTTCGTTCGCTCGGGGATGATATCGGACTGGCAGTGACATACATACTAGTACAGGTCATAACATCGTCAAAACTCATCGTTGTCGCTGTCGCTGTCGCTGTCATCTAGCGGAAACAGCTGAACCGCCCAAACGAGATCCGGAACGGGGCGCGACGCACACCATGTCTGTCAGCGACGATGCCGCCGCCTAAGAATTGTTAGTTTGAGGTTCAAACCTTCTACGAGGCATTTTCGAGTTGAAGTAGGAGATACTCACCAGCACGCTTCCCACCCCAGTGCTTAGTCCACATGAGAGGCATATTTTCAATATAAATCGCTGGTTGCTTGTTTGTTTCTGACTTGAATGTGGATGTAGAGACGATTATTTCGCTTGTGATAATCGGAGAATTATTCTCAACGGTCGACGAGCTTAAATACCCCAGTGATAGTGATGTGGTGCTGCTGGACCCTGAAAGAAACCGGTTGGCGATGGGGATGACGTAGCTGGCGTCGGACGTAGGCCAAGAATGATCTGCGGTGCCCCAGACACAGCCACGTCTGAGGTAACGTATATCGTCGGAGTGGATTCTTTCACTGTTTCTAGAGCAGACTGGAATATCTAGATTCGAGATACGGTGCTTACTGAGGTGTGGTTGCCACATGGACGTACATAATAGGGTTGTGGGGTCGTATACTTGGTGGTGCCAGCGGGTTGCTGCGACTTGGCGAGTCAATTCTTTGGTATATGATGAGAAGAATCGACCTGAAACCCCGCTCTTAATGTGGTTTGGACTTTGGAACACCTCGAAAGGCGATATGAGCAGTATTACTAGTTTACTTCCACTAGGCACCTGTTGGCTGGCTGTGTCAGGCGTCGCCTCCCAACGGGTACATGGTGTCTACCCACGGCACCCAAGAGCTTATCTCTACGCCTAGCACTTGGTTGGCTTGACAGGATACGCCAATAGATGACCTCCAAAGCAATTACGAGCTAGAACAGTACGCGTGGCCGGAACCTCGACGAGTAGTGTACCATGCTGCCGTCGCTGCGTCGGGTGGTCTTCTATGCGTCTACAGAAGCCGCCACACCCTTTTGGCTCCATGGCTACTCAGCCGGCCCAATTATTATTTACCTACTGTATGTACTTGTCGAAGCTAGCCACTATAGCTGTCACTTGTGGCATCCAGCATCCCGGCTCTGCTCTCATAGGCGCATGCGTCGCGGCAACTGCGAGTGTTGGGGGATTTATTGAGGGTATTTTATATATACTCTGTCAGAGATACGGCACCATTACACACAACGATAAAATATTGAGATCTATTTCTTTCTTTCTTTGAAAAACGCGAAACCAGAAAATGGATTCACGCCTCTAATATATCAACGCAACGCCAGGCTCTATGCATAGTAGCAAGGAAACAAAAATAAGGAGGAGGGAAACATGAATAAGGAAAGAACGGTTCTAAGACGAACCACTCGCAACTCCCTCTAGGTCCTTATACTTTACTCTCCCCTTTACTGCTACTAAAAACCCTCCGAAACCCGCTCCCATCGCCCCTCCTCACCACTCCCGCAACAACAAACAACGCCACACCAACAATCCACTCTGCAAAAAGAACCCCAACGCCCTCCCAAGATGCGGATTACAACCCTCCGTCCAAATCTGTAACAACACCTCATAAAGCTCATGCGCGGGCATGACATACCCCAGTCTATAAACCCCCGGCGAGAGCTCAAATGGGGAGATCGTACTCGAGACATTGAGAATCACCCAGGTGAGAACGAAAAAGGGCGCGAACTGCATCGGAATGATCGCGATGACGAAGTCGATGAGCATAAAGTGGATGTGGCTTGCGAGCCAGATGGACATCCAGGATCGGGCGAATTGCGAGCCGGTCACGGGCCAGGATTCGTGGAAGGACCAGATGTAGCCGGTCATGACGAGGGCAGACAGACATGTATAGACGAGGGAGATGCCGAAGCGGAGGAGGGCTGCTTTTGGTGCGGAGAGGGCGGGTTTGTTCTGGGCCCAGATGCCGTTCAGCGCCATGATGAAGAAGAACTGGATGATTATCGGCATCACCATCGAGACGGTGTTGTAGTAGAAGCGCGTGCCCTGTGGCATGGGGTTGAGGTCTGTTGATGAGGCGGAAATGGGGGAGAGGATTGTTTGTGCGATCGAGGGGTCGGAGACGTTGATTGTAGCGAGGGCAGCAGTGCCGTTGATCTGTCTGTAGGCGGCTGCAGCGCCCTGCGCGAGCCCGTCGAGCATTGAAGAAACTGCTTGCGCAGTTGAGGGGTATCTGGCGCTACTCCAGATGTATCCAAGAGCCTGGGAGCTATCATAGTCGCGGGCTCCCTCCGACGAAGCCAGTGCAGCGGATAATCTCGACGAGGCATCCCGGCTGGAATATATAGCACCCCAGTATCCACCCTTGCAGACAGCTTCCTGAACGTCTTGTGGTGTCGGGTATTCTTCTGGGGAGTGCTGATGGAGCGTTGGAAACTCGGGCCCTCGCATCTGATTGTAGGCTGCCGTGACAGACTGTCCAACCTCACCACCGTCGTAGTCGACAAACAAGAACTTCAGTGCGCTGTATCGTGAAGTGTTGTGGTAGGCTGTGCCGTACAGGTAGCTCATGTTGGCGAGGATGAGCAGCTGCAGCATGACGGCTGCGCCGGCTATGGCTATAAGGAATGGCTTCAGGCTAGGCATTGTCGGGTGTGCGTAAATGAGCCCTTCTAGGAAATAACGGACGGTAGGAAAAATTGATAGAGTTGTTCAAAAAGGCCTTGTGATCATATGGTACGGTATAGGGGTGGGGGACATATAAAGTCCTCCTAAAGTCGGAGGTCGGGCCAGAAGGCGCCGACATCCCCTAACCCCGAGGAAAGATGCTCTGCAGAAACTACTCTCCCCGATTATACAGTCCCGGTCCTTGCCCGCCATCTCGGCGATCCACAGGTTCCGCTGAGGTAAGCGGAAGTGGTCCAGTGACCATACAGAGTAGGATCATCAAGGTTCACCACGGCTCTCGCGTGCCGGCACGGCGATCTGCCGTTAATTACCTTCAGGGGTTATTGCACACATGATGATTTTCCGGAATATACAGCGTAGGTTAGTAGATCTATGTGAGTCTAGTCGGCGGACCCATCGAACCAAATTCTATTAAAGTACATGCGAGGCCTGGATTTGCGACTATTAACTTTGGGAGCACGTGTATTACTCCTGCAGTTGTCTATATAACAGCCCTTTTCAGTTTCTTCCAGATGCCACTAAACGTCATCGTCGTCGGTGCAGGCCTCGGCGGCCTAGGCGCCGCTCTAGCACTCCACCGCGCCGGGCACAATGTGCAGGTTAGCATCATTTAGCCCTACCCACCGACCCTCTCCTCTCCTCCCGGAACACATTTCTTATGTCGAAGGAACACGTTCTCGAAAAATCAAGCTTCCTTAACGAATTCGGCGAAGCAATCCACGTCGCACCAAACGCCACGCGCATTCTGAAAGCGTGCGGATGCGACCTTTACTGGCTGAGGCCGGTTCATTGCGAGAAATTGCAGATCTGGGATGCTAAGGGAAATTTGATCCGGACGCCGATTGTATGTTCCATTTCTTCTGGGTTTGGGTGGCCTTGCTGATGATAGTAGGTCACGAAGGAGTATCAAACTGCTTTAGGTGTACACGATGAATGGGTTCTTCCCCACAGGGTGGACTTGCACAGTGCACTGCGGGCTACTGCTGCTCGGGTGGTTAAGATTCGTATTTAGCTTGTAGCGCGTGCCGCGTCTGTTGTACGTCACTTGCATCAATGCCCGTTGAATCTAGAGCAATGACTGATGTCCGGAAGTAGGATGCAGAAGCAGGAGAGGTCCTCCTCGAAGACGGCACCAAGTACACCGGCGACCTCATCGTAGGCGCCGACGGTATTCACGTAGACTTCACTGGATACATACAAACCACTTCCTAAAAAGCAAAGCCAATAATGCTTGGCAGTCCCGCTCCGTCCACGCGATTCTCAGCCCCACCGGAACCAGCATAAGCACCGGCCAAAACTGCTTCCGCTTCCTCGTCCCTGTCACCAAGATGCAAGAGACTGCATTAACAGCCAATCTCATGACGAAAATCGGCCTTGACAGCGTGCACGTCTTCACCACGCACGATCGACGCCTCGTGCTGTATCCCTGCCGGAGAGGCCAACTTCTCAACGTCGCTGGGATCTATCCGTCTGATCCGGGCACGGACGAGAGCCATGATGCCTCATGGCATAACGCGGGGAGTTTAGAGGAGCTCCTCGATACCTTCCAGGATTTCAGCGACGAACTGCAAGAGATGTGTCGCATGGTGGAAGACGTCAAGCTGTGGAGTCTGGTCTGGCATCTCGCGACCCCGCGCCGACGTTTGTCCGCGGAAAACTGGCGCTCATCGGGGATGCGGCGCATCCGATGCTTCCTCGTGCGTATACCAACCCAGTTCCTCAACATACACATCCCTCTCCACTCCATGACTATCATCATAACCATACCACTGACACCACGAACCACCCAGACCAGGGCCAAGGCGCCGCGCTGGCGTCCGAAGACGCGGCTGCCCTCGCAGGTGTGCTACCAGAAGCCACAAGCGTAGGCCAACTCCCAGAAAGACTGGACCTCTACAATCGCCTACGGTATGCACATGCCGTGACGGTCATGATAATGTCGCGGACGGTGTCACGGACGGTGTCACGGACGGCGGTCGAGCGGCGGGAGGAGATGCTTGATAAATTCCGTCGGTTTGTCCCTGGGGCGGTCTCGCCGAGTGTATGTTTGGGTACATGTGGACGTCGGATCCGATTGGGGAGGCGAGGAGGGTTGTGGAGGCGTCGTGATAGGGAGAGTGATCCTAAAGTCAGCGGGCAGTGCTGAACGTCAAGGGAGACTATGAGGGGGGGAAGGGGCTGAGGATCCGACGGTGGGCTGAGTTAGGGCTACGGGTTATTGTACCCGATTTCTATCTGTACGTACAGTCCGTAGAAAAACAGATAAGAAGAAGCGTTTGTAGGTATGAAAGCACTGGTAAGCAAACATCCTCGAATAGCCACCACTCTTTTCTCAGCCACTCTAAGGATATATTTTCGAGACCTTGTTATCGTAGAGTACATCTCCCTAAGCAGGCGCGGCTTATGGCAACACCTAACAGACAAGGGGTCTTAGAAAAACCTCAGATAATTCACTAAAGTGGTACGAAGCCGCCCTGTGCAATACACACCATGCATACGTCCACAGTGGGACGCGCTAAGGATATAAATCCGGGACATATCTTTCCCACCATATTCCACTCTCATGGATTCATCAGTCGAATGCCGCGCCTGTGATCCACCGAACCATTATATCAAGCGCCACTTCCGGCTGATCCTGAGGCAGCTATCCACAACCCCAGGTTAGAAACCACAACCGGCTGTATCAACTGCTAGGTAGAGAGTGAGGTGGTGGGCCTTACCAGATGGCCCGCTCTGTCCACCGTCACAAACGAAAACCGCACCGGATCCCGATCTCGATCGCCGACATGAATGGGTACCTCCTTTGCTTTTCCCAGAGCCACAGTCTCATTCTCATTCCCATCCACCAACCCCCACGGTTCCAACGACCGAGCCGTGAATTCCGTCTGCCCCTTCCACGCCAACGAATCTGCCCAGTGCAGGTTCCCCGCCGTATTGCAAGCAAGATCAAGGTGCCCTGGTACGCCAGGAAATGCACACTATTCTCCAAGAGGAACATGACTAGATCCGAGGTCGGTGTCATCCCGTCGGCGGTCTTTTCAAACGCGTCGATGACGCGCTGCGAGCCGAGTTTGTATTCTGTGATTTGTTTCGGGGGTTGTAGGGCGTTCCAGACCTCTGGAGTGTTTAGGTACCGTTCGATGCGCGCGGCTTCAATGTAGCACATTTCGTCGATCTCATAGGGGGCCGTGACTGTATATTGTTTAGTATAGCAGATAGGCCAACAGTAGATATGCATGGTTCTGGCGAACTTCAATTGTATGGGATTTCGCTTTATGACATGTTTAGTCCCTTTACATTCTATACACCTTCCGGGGTACTCGCTAAATTTGGGGACTCTTCGCCCATTCTATTTTACATGAACCATATATCAATATATGCCTACTTGTATATAACATGTGAATACTTGCTGTAGAACTGCGCTTGAATTCTACTCTTAGTACCGCGACGGCCATAAAGGGTGGCATACTGGCTAGGCCCCTGTAATGGGCAAATAGCGCGCTTGACAGGGAGCGCATTATTACATTCACTGATCAATTATGACAGAAATGGCGGGGGTCAGCAAGGGGCTCTCACGTGGAACTTGCAACTACAATGGAGGTCCATCTTGAACTCCCGGCCGCTCAGGAATCCAGGTTCGTTACAATGGGAAATAAGAAGGGCCCACATACACTTTTCGGCAAAGCGGGACGCGGGGCATGGGGGAACCCAGATCCCCCATGAGGGCTATGGGTCTGGAATGGTCGTGGCTAGGTTTACACATACTACAGCAGATATGCGTATCCTACCATACGCTTTTAGTTTAGCCGGGACAATGAAGCCCCGCAAGAGACTTCTGTCACCCTCATCAGTGGAGGCCCGCTTCGTTGTGCGGGTCAAACTGGATGCGGGGACCTATTGCGGGACCTGGGGGAAGCAGGGTCTTGAAAACTGGGCAAGTTCCACTCGTTTCAACTCGATCATACGGTTCTCGCGTTTGCGATCCCTAGTTATGCTCTCTACCGGCTCCGGCTCCCCTTCCGGGCCTCCAGCAGATCCAGATCAGTTTGATCTTTTGCCGGGCACCGAGATTCTGCGAGACCTTTCTAGCCAATCCTCCGAGTCAAGGCCAATGTAAGAAGCCGAACTTCATTGGCTCTGTAGCGTTCTGACTATAATAGACTTGTCCCAACTCCATCCGATAATCCCAGTGATCCCTTGACTTGGTCCAAAACATGGAAATGTAAGCTCCTTCATCCACCCTACTCCTACTCATGCATCGCAACCGCGCAGCGGCTTACCGAGAATCATCTAGACCTCGTCATCGGAACCCAATTCCTATACCTCTTCGTCTCCGTCGAGTCCGCTCTGTCAATGGGGCCCATGTTCCCATTTTTTGCGGAAGAATTCGGCCTCGATGAGACTCAATTGGGCTTATTAACCGGCTCCTGTGTCCTAGCCCTCGGATTCGCAAACTTCCTCATCGTGCCTTGCTCAAACATCTTCGGCCGCCGCGTCACAAGCATTAGCCTCTGTGCACTGGGTGGAGCAACCTGCATATGGCAGGCCCTCGCCACGTCATATTCGAGTTTGCTGGCTGCCCGTGCCATCAACGGTATAGCGACAGCAACGAGCGAGACGATCCTGGTTCAGGTTGTATCCGACGTGTTCTTCCTGCATGACCGTGGCTTGTGGACCGGTGTTTACTTCATGGGGTATTTCCTGGGTTTATTCATCGGACCCATTATTGCAGGAAATATCGCACAAACGTATGTATTTGTTCTTGTTTTCCTCCATCACACTCTCTTGCTTTTGCCACAACGCTAACCACAGCTATGTATCATCAGATTCGGCTGGCGGAGCTTCTTCTGGCTCTCCCTCGCAATGACTGGCGTCAATCTTATTACGCTTTGTGCCTTCTTCCCTGAGACGAAATATTCCCGGCCTGCCAGCAATGATTCCGTCCCTCCACACGAAGTGTCCTCTACCGAAGCCCACAAATCCGACTCGATCCAGCTCGAAAACGTCGACCACTGTGACCCTGCACCAGCGATCGTAGGCAAGGGCCGCCCATCAAAACCCCAATTCACACTCTGGCAGTCCCCAGATCCAAACTGGAAGCGCTTCCTCATTCGCGACACCATCTCCTCCATCACCGTCTTCTCCTTCCCCATCATCCTCTGGGCGGGTCTCAACGTCGCCGGACCCGCCAACGTCCTGCTATACTGGAACCTCACAGAGTCCGCCATCCTCGGCTCCCATCCATACAACTTCACCCCCTCGGCCGTCGGCTACTCGAACTTTGCCTTCGTCGTCGGCGGCGTCGTGGGTCTCCTCACCGCAGGCCCCTTCTCCGACTGGATCGCGATGCGCGCCACACGCGCGAACAACGGCATCCGTGAAGCCGAGATGCGTCTTCCCGCTCTAATCCCTTATTTCTTCACCTCAGTAGCCGGGATCATCATCGGCGGAGTTGGATACAGCGAGAAATGGAGTTGGCTTGTGGTCGTCGTAATTGGATACGGCTTCTCGGGCCTGTGCGTGACGGCCGTGCCGACGATTGCTGTTGCATACGCGGTGGACTGCTACCGGCCCATTTCGGGGGAGATTATGGTTGTCGCGACGGTGATTAAGAATAGTTGTGGGTTTGCAATGAGTTACTGGGTTTTCCCACTTGCGGGGAGGGAGGGGTGGGTTGTGCCTGCGATGGTGCAGTTGGCGTTGACGGCGGGGCCGATGGTGCTGGGGGTGCCGATGTATTTTGGTGGGGGGAGGTGGTTGAGGAGGGTTACGAGGAATTCGGCGGTGCATTCGTATGGGGAGTGAATTGGGAATAGAGTCTATGCATCGTGGAAGTTTTTTGGTGTTTGCTTGACAACTTTAATAAGGGTCACAGCTTATACAAGACCCTAGTTTTATGCAACTGGTGGTGTCATTATAAAGCTAATATCCTAGCACTCCCCATAAATTCCTATAGTTAGATTTCTGGCCTGTGCATAATACTTACATGAACTTGAGCTGTTTCTTTATACAATCTTCTGTATTCACAACCCGCATTATGGTAATCTAGTGCGCCAACTTAAGCAGTGCTCACCAAGACACAAGAAAGTAACAGATCAATTGTCGGCAGATGGAACCTAGATTCCACTTTGCGAAACCAAGAATCAGCTACTGTCTCGACAATCGAGAACTGCTTACTGCCGGTCCCTCAGTTCGGGTTTCGTCCCACACTTCCCCTCAAACTTGTCCGCCCCTCGTCCCGCCACCACAGTCGACCCCACGACTCGACGATAACAATGCTACTATACCCCCGGTTCAAGACCAATCGGCAATATCTTTTCTCATTTGTGCCTTCATTCCTTCAGTTTCGATTTCTTCTATTTTCCCGTCTTTCTCTGTTCGATATCCTTCACGATGCCTTCCTGGACGCACCTGGTTCGCTTCGTCGCTGTCGAGGACAATCAAGTCCACCTCGGCCAGCTGGTCGACACCACTCGAGACGTCGGACGCGATAGCGTAGACGGTGTTGAGGTTGCTGTGTATGTGATTGCCGGGACTATCTTCGATGGTCGAGTCACCGAGCAGGTCTTGCATGTCAAGTCGGTGAGTTTCTCCTCGTCCAATGTGCCATGACGTATATATGACAATTATAATCATGCCCTTTTGACAATTCCAATCAGATAGAGGGTTGACATGTGTTTTGGGACGAATATAGTTGCTTTCTCCAGTCTCAAGCGATCAATGCAGCTACATCCGCTGTCTGGGTCTGAACTACACAGACCATGCAAAGGTACATATGCATCCATCCTACTTGGTTGAATGTACGCAAGCCACCAACTAACGCCTGGGGAAATCCAGGAAGCAAACCTCCCCCTCCCCAAAGTCCCCATCCTCTTCACAAAGCCCCGCACCGCGCTCGCAGGCCCCTATCCCGCGGCCATAAACGTGCCGCGCTGCGCGCAGGACGGAACAAGCGACTACGAGGCGGAACTTTGTCTCGTAATCGGCAAGTCCGGGCGCGATATCCCCGAGGAAGACGCGCTGGATTACGTGCTCGGGTATACGGCGTCGAACGACGTCTCCGCGAGGACCCTGCAGCTGCTCACGGCGCAGTGGTCGTTTTCAAAGGGGCTTGATGGGAGCTGTCCGATTGGTACGTACAACCGAGACATTCTCTTACCTTTACGCGACGCGGGCATCTAAGATGGAATATAAACCAACAGGCCCCGTCCTCGTCTCCCCCTCCATAATCCCCGATCCGCAAACCCTCTCCATAAAAGCAATGTACAACGGCGCAACTGTGCAAGACGGGCATACGCGCGATATGATTTTTTCAATCCGGAAGCAGATTTCCTATCTGTCTCAGGGCACGACGCTCGAAGCGGGCACGATCATTCTCACGGGGACTCCCGCCGGTATTGGATACTTTCGCGAACCCAGAGTGGTTCTGCGCGATGGAGATGAGATTTCGGTGCAGATTGACCAGATTGGCACGTTGGTTAATAAGGTGCGGTATGATGCGCGGTAGATAGAAGGGAGATAAATAGGGTGCCGGTGGAATACTAGTGTGTGCAACACACACATATGATTAGACGAAAATGGACGAGAAATTCCTGTTTTGATTGATTTCCTCGGTTCGTTTTCCCTCTTCCTACGTTTTGTAGATGGTCGTACTATCCATATCAACTGGGTTAAATGGCCTGGATATATTCAGTGCGGTGATAGCATGCCTCACTCTACTACTTGGATGGTTTGACAGGGGCGTTCTCGATGGCTAACCTAAACAACTCGGTAATCAAGACTTGATTTCGAGGATTAACCTGGGTAAACCTATGCCGAAGACAGGTAATTATAAACGTGGAACCAGTGAGGTGAATACCAAGACAATATGGACACCGCTGCGACGCCAGCAGGTGGTATGCCGCTGCTTCTTCTCAACGAACGTTTCTCCTGGAATCAACAATTTCTTTTGATGAGAAATGACGTAAAGGGAAGATAGCTGTGGTTATTCTTGCTTGCTAGCGGCCCATGTATATACACCCTGATCTACCTACGTTATTTCAAAAACCACGCTGGAACCTCCGGCCCCCAAACAGCCAACGACTCATGCCCCGCAGGCCCATACCCAACAGGCGTCAGCTCATTAACCAAATCCCCATCCGCATAATGCTCAACCATATTCCCCGTCGTATCCCACCAGTAGTCGAAGATCTGCGAGCCCAGGATATGCCGGCCCACGCCCCAGACAGATGTATACCCCTTTTCGGCGAGCCACTGGTGCCCGAGCTTCTGGGTGTCAAAGTCGTGCACCTCGAATGAGCAGTGGTGCACGTGGGAGGTCGTGTTGGTGCTCATGAAGAAGCTGTGGTGGTCGACGTGGGTGGTGCCGCGGTCGATGTGGGCGAAGACGGCGACGTTTTTGCGGGTGCCGCTGGGGGTTTGGATGTAGAGGAAGTCGGTTGGGACGAGGTTAAAGGTTTGAGTGTAGAATTCGAGAAGGGCGTCGTAGTTGGTCGTGCAGAGGCCGTAGTGACCGAGCTGTAGTACACGATAGAGGGTTAGTGCGGCGGCTTATTCGGACGGTGGGAAAAGGAACGAACTTTATGAACAGCGGCTGGCCCGGCCTTGAAACGCTGGAATTTCCGGATCCGCGGCTTCTCGTTTTCGTAGTTGTACGTGAGCTTCTCGGGGACACTGCTCGGCTGTGCGGGTTGTTGACCGAAAATCAGATGCACCGGGAAGCCCTCTGGATCGTGGACAGTGACCATATGGCCACCCCCGGGCGCCTCGGATAGCCCCGTAATCTCGCTAGACGACTGTAACGCCGTCGCCCTGCCAGAGTCAGCGACACCTTGTTTCAGCTGCCTGTAATCCAACTTACCGTTCCAGATCCTGGTACGACTCAACCTCGAATGCACCCCCGAGAAACTCCTTGGGCCCCTTGCGAGCATAGTACACATACTGGTCTGTCCCGTACCCTTTATACCAAATCTCACTCCCTGTGCGCTTCGCGACCGTCATACCAAAATCTGCGCTCGTAGTGTAGTTAGCTATCTACATCCTTCTTAGCTTTCCCCCACATCATATATATCGACCAACCTTGGAGGAAAATGGTAATCTCCTCAAGATCCGGATGCTGGTAGCGCATGTGCGAGAGCTTGACCAGCCGGATCTGGTTTTTTGTATCAATCTTGCTGCGCTCCTTCCAGGCGCTCAGCGGCTCCGAGTCTGGTCCGATGGCGACGGTGTCATCGATGGATGCCCCATGATTGAAGTGTGTTTGAGATGCCTAGGGCTTGGTGTTAGCCGCGGTTCCATCCTCCTTGTTTGCTTGTGTCTTCTCGGCTGCAATACGAACCATTCTGTGAATCTTGTCGAAGAGTGACTGGAGAAGAAATTGACTGATCCGTCTCTGTCTACGGTATGACTTTACCTTGTTTTTGTCCCCGCTAGGTGCACCGCATGCTTGGTGTCCCGCATCTGCAGCTCCCCACCCCGCGTCCCGCAAACAATTCCCGCAATGCGGGACCGCCTCTCGACCAGTCCTTCCAAGGCGCAAGGACGGAACAGGAACATGGGCCGATCCAATTCCTCCGCTTTCAAAAAAAACCACCTATTATCTGGAATACGATAGGCGGGGATTATACTCTTCTCTGCTCGTCTTCATTCTCTTTTTATCTCCGCCTTAGGCTCTTCTGCGCTGCTCAACGCGCCACCCCCATCTATACAAACATACATTCACAATGACTAACAAGGACATCGAGTACGAGACAACAGACGTCGTCATCTGCGGCTGCGGACCCACGGGCGCAATGCTCTCGGGCTATCTAAGCCGCATGGGCGTGAGACACATCGTCCTTGAAAAAGAGAGCGCGATCACGACTGACCCGCGAGGGATTGCGCTGGATGAAGACGGGATTCGGCTGCTTCAGGGGGTTGGGATCTATAAGCAGGTCTATAGCGAGATTGGGACGTGTATGTCTCATTCCCTCACTCGGACTCTTTGACTTGGTTTGTCTGCGGAGAATATGTGAGGATTAACATTTCCACCTGATAGGTATGCAGCTGTTCAAGTTCATCGGTGGGACACGGCCGGACTTGCACCGGGATGCGTTTCTGGAGATGGATTACGCTACGGTGAGGACTCCATTTCCCTCTACGCCCCCAGACCCTAGGTTTAGCATGTAGTTAACGGACAGTTCGCCAGACCGAAGGCGGCACAGGCCACGTCGGTTTCATCTGCCACAAGCAGCCGGTCCTTGAGCGACATCTGCGCGCGGCCATGGCCTCCGAGTTCAGTCAACTCCGGTCGAATTGCACAGTGATGGGTATCAAGCAGGACACCCACTGGACATATTGCCGCTACCGTGATGAGCACGGCGAGGAGCATGCCATCCGCTCGAGATTCTTCGTCGGCGCGGATGGGAAAACCGGCTTCACGAGGAAGAATTACCTCGAGCCATTGGGGATTCGGATGGAGCAAGCTCATGAGTAAATCCTGGATTCTTGCTCGGCAATCCGAGGGCTATCCGCTAATACTTTCCCTGGCGCAGCGCCTTCTACGACGAAACCTGGGTGGCCCTGAACTGGCAAATCGACCTCCCAACTCCGAAAACACACCCCGACTTCCCCCTCTGGTCACTGGGGTACTCGCCGCAGGACGTATACAACCTGTTCTTCCCCGTTCACTTCCGTTTCATCTGCAATCCAGAGCGGCCGGCGGTCTGCGGCCGCTTCGGTCTGCCCGCAGACAGGCTGTGGCGATTCGAGTTTGTCGTTCGACCAGGCGAGGATCCCGATATGATGGCGACGGGCGAGAAGACGGCGGAGATTATTTTCCCGTATATTACGCATAAGGGGGAAAGATATGGGTATGACATGACAAAACCCTGTGTTTCGTTTCCCCAAAGGGTCTTTGGCAAGGCAGGGCAGTGTGTGATACTGAATTGTTTCCTTTCCATCGTCTAGGTTGTCACAGGACGTCCAGTACCCCGAAGACTGCATCCGCGTCCTCCGCTCTCGCCCCTTTCGCTTCGCAGCGCGCGTCTGCAACCGCTGGTCTCACGGCCGCGTCATTCTATGCGGAGACGCAGCGCACGTCTTTCCTCCCTGTACGCTCCCGCCCCGCTTTGCCCTGAAGTACACATGTCCTGATGTAGTAAAAATCCAGTCGGTGGTCAAGGCATCGCCTCCGGCTTCCGCGACGCCGCCTCGCTCGCCTGGCGCCTCGCCTTCCTCAGCCGCTTACGACCCGACCAGACCTCCTCATCCTCCTCCTCGACCAACACCCAAAATGAGCAAAGCCACACCCACATCCTCCATGCCTGGTGCACCGAACGCAAACAACAGCTCTCCGCGTCCCTCGCATCCACAATCGAAAACGGCCGCTTCGTCACCGAGGCGAATCCGCTGCGGATATTACTGCGGAGTGTTTATCTGTTCGTTGTGAATCTTGTTCCGGGGTGGAGGAGGGAGATGAGGTTGGGGAGGAGGAGGGAGGGACTTGGGAGGTATGTATATCAGGGTATGGAGGGGGAGGGGGCGGGGTACAGGGAGAGGGAGAGGGAAAGTGGGCGGGGATTGGCGATGCCGTTTATGCCCGAGATGGGTGGGGGGGTTTGTTTGCCGCAGGTATATTGTAAGTCTGTTGGGGGTTCGGGAATGGACAGAGGTGGAGGAGGAAAGGGGAGTGTGTTCTTCACGGATGATGTCATCTTTGGCGTCCACAAGAAGGGTCTCTTCCAGCTCCTCGTCTCTCTGGATACGCTCTCCCGTCTCCAAGGCGCGATGGAGATGGTCGCCGACGTCAAGAGCGCACTAGTGGAGGGGATAGAAGATGAAGACATTTGCCTCGGCGAGCCCACGTACCTAGTGCAAGACACTGGTCCTGGTACTCCCACCGGGATGCCCTCTTCAGCAACGATATACCAACTCGCAAGCGCGGAGGAGTTTGCGGCCTCGCCGCTTTGCGAGGGGCGGCCGGCTCCGCAGGGGTATGACCCTCTCTACCTCGCAAAGGCTGTGGGTAGCGGGATGCGATTTGTGATTGTTCGTCCGGATAGGTTTATTTTCGCGTCGTGCACGGACAGCAAGGAGCTCGAGAGGGCTGTGAGGGCGGTTGTGGGGTACTTGCGTGGGTGCTGAGCATTCAGATGAAGAGATTATCATATGTGTATCAGGTATTCAAGTACAAAGCTTAAATTTTCCCACACAACAGTCACTCCTTATAAAGATTGTTTTTGTTTTGTTTTATTTATTTATTTTTTCGCCCCTGGTTTTCTTCACCCGTCCACTCTCCTCTCCTCCTCTCTCTCGATCCCGGGTAACAGCAGCCTCAGTATCCCCGCCAACCGCTTCGACAACCCCCAGTGCCCCATCCTCTGCAGCAGATCGACAAGCCCACCAAACGTCGTCGACTCGGCCATAGCAGATCTCCGAGTAGACCCAGTTTTCCACCCGCTCGCTGGGAAGAGGGCTTGCCGACAGTTGACTTCCATCTCCTTGAGCTCGGGGAAGTCTGGCACTAATCCCGTGGTGTTCCCTCCTGCTGAGTGCGCGTAGTCTTGCCGGTCGAGGTCGTGGTACTTTGTGTAGCAGTACCAGGCAATTGCGGCGCGGAATACCACGCGAGGGACGTGGATGGCTGGCTCCATCGATAGTGGGAGCTGCTCGAGGTGCCGGAGGACCAGCGCGGCGTGGATTGCGGCGCGCTGGCCGCGGGAGGAGTTTGCCCATGCGCGTACGTATGTTGCGATGCGGGGAGACCTGGCTTGATGTGCGCCTTCGCGACCGATGGCAAGCTCGAGAGAGTCAATGTCTGCGGATAGGGAAATGAAGACTCCATGCCAGAGGACGAGCAGCGAAAGCGGGTCTGGTCCCTCTCGTTGGTGATACGGCTTGAGGTGTGTGGTGTAGAATGTGATCAACGAAGAGGTAAATGCGCAGTCGATTTGTTCAAGACTGTTTCCATCGTCGGGTTGATTTGCCACTGTCTGTGTCTTGCTCTCCATCATGAATGCTGAAAGGGCTTCGAGCTCGAGATATGCATGTAGTCGGGGTGTACTTCCAGGTGGTGAATGACTGCGGGTGTTGGCTTCGGCCCCTTGCGTCGAGCTGAGATGCTCAACCATCAGCCTGGACCATGCTTCTGCCGCGCTTGCGTTCCAGAGCTCATCGTTGCATAGCACGGGCCGCTTCGGCGGACTATGTCGGAGGTAGGGGTCCGTCACAAAGAGTTCTGCTATCTCGACGTCGTGGATGTGGAGGGCCGCCGCGATCCTAGATAAAAAGGATGTATCATGTCAGTGTTCTCAAGCTGTGAGATAGAATGCCCGCACATGGCGAGAAACAGGGCGTAGAATCGCACCTATTACGCTCCTCCGTCTGAGCCCAAGTTCTCCAGGCGTTCTGTGGGCGATGCAGCACTTCCTCGAGGGAGATGCTGTCCGACGCCTTTTTGGGTTTAAACATACGGTACCTCCTTGCCCACTGTAACAGGTCAGCCTCCTTATAGCTCTTTTCACTTGCTGGCACTCACCGCCACTAGTGTCCCGTGAAAAGTCTGTGCTATAAAAAGATCTTTTTGTCTCTGTCTCATTTTCTTTTAGCGTGGTGTCCGTTCCAGATGGTCATGGCAGCTTGCGAACACCATACCCCGGATAATAGACCAAATGTCTGACCAATGAGCGCCGCCTGGATCATCGCCGTCACTCCTGTCCCCCTCTCGGACATGTAACCTTCCCACTGTGACTCTTTGAGTTGCAGAGCCTATCTATAACGGTGGTCAAACACTTACTGAAGAGAGAATTGCCTTGTTCAAGGTCTCGAATATCTTCTCCCCCTGGGACTGTGCGTGCGATAGCCCGACAAATAAACTCCCAATCGAGCATATGGACAATAAAAGGAGCGAATTGATCGCCGAAGGCCGAAAGGTCGGTGCGTGAATAACAGGAAACAGCGGGTGGAACTTGGAAAAGTATGTCTGGATGCACATGTTCTAGAACAGTCAGATAGACCCCTTGAAACTCATAGGGAAATAACCGCGGTAAGTTACCAGGAAATCAGTAGATGGGAGGGGAAAGACAGGAACTTGGTGCTGTAGCTTGACGGCAAGATTTGTCCTGTATGCATCATCTACGTGCGTTTCTTCAGAGCCGATATCCGGCGTGATGTACCCTGATTGCGAGGAGGCTGTGTATGTGAACCATTCTTTCTGCACAGCATCTTCCACAGAGGGGGGAACGTTGTGCTCAGGAACGGGAGCCGGCGGCTCAATAATCGTAGGGAGGGGTTCCGGTGGTAGGAAATAACTCGTAGACGCAATGATGCTCGAGTTGAGGGCGTCCAGGTCAAAGTCATCCTGGGCAAGCCACACAGGCGTCTGCGGAATGAAGTTAAAGACCCAGTCGTTGCTGCGAGTTGAGTTGGTCATAGGGGGATGGCCTGGTCCGGCTGTTTCCGGCTCCGTCGTAGATTGGGGTCCAAGGGAAACATTCTCGAGCCAAGGCGACGGATAAGACCGTACCACATCGCCTGCGAGGGAATGGTGGCCGATCCCATCATCTGACATGGTTGGATGTGATACATGGTTCATTCTTGCAAGGTCCTGTACCCCTTGCGCACACGGAGGATTCGGGAACTCTCGGGGCAGACTAGGGCGCGCTTCGTAGTTACTCTGTGCACGTCTGCTGGGTGTGTTTTGTGATAGACTGTGCACATCCAGATTCATCGTGTCCGAGGTGAAAGTTGCCACCTCCACCACTCTTGGAGAGGCCGATTCTGCAGATTTATGAGACCTGCGGTGGCGTAGAAGCGAGTCACTAGAGAGAAGTTAGCAGACCCGACAAGGCTATAGAGTCAAATTGTGAGTGCTACTGTCGACTAAAAGCCTTATTGCAGACTCGACACACAAAAGGCTTCTCCTTTGTATGCGTGCGGACATGCCTTGCAAGGTGCTCTTCTTTGGTGAATGATTTTGAGCACCATGGGCATAGGCGCTGGCCCCTGATCCGACTTGGTGTATCTGACATGTTTGTAGCTGTCGGCTGGGTTGAGGGGCATGTCGATGGAGACTGGGAAGGAATGCAGGTGGAACTTGGCTTGGGATTGATGCGGGCGCAGCTTCCCCGCAAATTCCGCCCCTCCGGGACCCCGGCCCGACGGTTTCCCTCCCTGCTTAATAAAAAAGGCTTGCGGGTTATGTTAAGTACACAAAAATAATTTTATGAAGAATAAGGTATAAAAAGGAAAAAAACATACAACAGTAGGGATTCGCATGTGGTCACCCACCATACTACTAACCTACCGGCGTGAGGGTAGACGCTCGGGCCCAACCCTTTTGTTCCCGCAGAGTCGCTCGCTCTCTCATCTAAACAGCACCAAAACCGCCACGCCAAGTGTCAGTTAAGGACTACTTTGCACTGGACCTATTAGGCATTCAATGACAAACAAGATATGATATCATTTTCTAATTTCAACAAGTTGTATAGCTTACCTATGCAAACCCTGCACGACTAGCTGCAGCTGATGAGCCTTTGAGTAGCACTTCCCACAAGGCTTATTGATGAGCAATAGTAGATGATGTTGGTTGAAACTCAAGAGTTAGGTAACGGAGGTTGGACCCGTCAAAAATAGGCGTGATTTGCAGGCGACCGCATTTAAACCATGGTGAATCCGTCAATTGGATAGACTGTGTGGATATAGCGTAACTCAGTGCCCCAAGTATAATGGAATAACAAGAGGCTGGCATCTCATAAAGATCAAATAATAGAGACCCCAGCACCTTGTCCCTCTCTAAATTAGAAAGAGTAAGATAGCTCTTTAACACTTCAACAACACGTAGAGATGAATCAAGGATGATTGTCAGGAGGGGCGTGTAAGTGAAAATTCTATCAAGTGGATTTACTGTATCTTCTTCACTCTTGTTGTCGTTCTGAAGAGCCAGTATCAAGGAGCTATATTGTGATACAAGCGCTAGAGGTGTCATCTTTCAGAGAAGGTCCTTCGTTTTCCGCTCAATCATTCGGTCATTTGTGGTCGAAGTAACTGAGAAGGCGGGGATGATGAAACAAGCACAGCTGACGGGAGGACTCAACGCTAAATCACGTGGAATGGCAGTGCGCCAACTGGTTTACTTCTCAGGAGACCGCCGACCGACTTTGAACCAGAGCTTGACTCCATTCCTCCCAGATCAAATCAATGTCCCCGTCGGCTATACTGCGTTTTCATGTCACTTGATGTATCGTGAGTCATCCCGTTTGGAACCAGCTTGTTTTACCACCTACCCAGACCTTGGACATGGCGATGTCCTCAAACGATTGCGTCGTCACTGTTACTTTCTGAAATACCATCTGGCCTGATCTGCTGTAAATGATTGCGCTAACATGATATGAAATAGCTTAATAGGAGCTTTCAGACAAATCGCAGAGTATTAACTACGATCGAACCTTTAGCCTTCGGCCTGCCATGGGATCGTCCAGATCAGTTTCGGATACCACGGCCCCGCGAGTTCATGTCAATATCCGCGAAAAGCGGAAGGCTCGTAAACACCAGACCTGCTATCCCTGTCGTATGCGAAAGGTGAAATGTGACCGCGACCGCCCCTGTATTGAGTGCGTCAAGCGCGATCATACCGAGCTCTGCTCGTACGAACGATCCCAAAAGAGACGAGCTATCGCCGAGTCAGCCCATGCTCCGTATAAGGATGGCTCTACCAGAAAGATACCGGTTGAAAAAGCAAACAGCGAGGGTGTGGGCCTGTCCGGCAGCTCTCTACCTTCGCAGAAGCCGCGAACCGGCAGCTGCGCAAATATGCCGGCAAACGATGGGCGGGTGTCCATTTGTCGTATTCAAAATGCGGGGCGGACGTGTTCCATTCCGATAGTAATTTCGCGCGCCGCGCGAACATTGTCTCCCAACCACCTAAACCTCAACAATCTGGCTAAAAACCATCAAAAGGTCTTCCTAATTAGTTGGATTGAAGCTATTCCCGCGCGTTTTTCAATAAAATATGCCACCTAAACGCAATATTTCGACCAATCAGGCCCAGGCGCGTGGTATCCCTTATGATCTTCGACGCGTCAATATGCCACACGAAGAACCTCCCCCTGCGCCTGGGGAGAAAGCAAAGCGAACATATATGCCGCGGAAGACGAGCCAGGCCATGGCGGCAATTAGACATGAAGCTAAAAGCCAGGCAGCATTAAAATATCGTGGCCAAAGCGTGGTGGGAAGAAAGACCTCCGCGCCGCCACCAGCTTATTCAACTCGATCAAAGCAGGCCGTCTCTGCTTGTTGCTCAGCAACTCCATTAAATCTGCCTCCATGAGCAAGATCTTGTTCTATATCTCGTGCAGCGCCTGCCTCCACTGCCGCCGCGATACAGACCTCTAAGCGCGTACGATTTAGCGTGGAACCCCTAATGGCAAGCGGCGCGATCCAAGACCTTGAACGCAGTAGCAATCAGGATACTAGTGGGAGTAAAGATAGTGAAGCTGAAGAAGAGGAGGAAGGGGCAGAGGAAGAGGAAGAAGACGAGCTAGCTCTGCCTGCGGAGCCTGCTTGTTAACCCTTAAACCCTCGTCGCCGGCTCCAGGATCTTGTAAATATTAGATCTAGTAATTTTAAGACTTTACAGAACAACGTGGACGAGGCAGGGGCGATCTTTTACAACGCCCGGGAGAGATATAAAGATGCCCAGCACACTGTACGATTGGTTGAAGCGCGGAAGAAATATATGGAGATGTAACATGATGGTCCAGTAACTTCAGATGCAGAGGAAGCGCTGGAGGAGGCCATGATATCTGCAGATTTTCCTTTGGAAGTCTCGCTGCAGTTGTACGCTAACAAGAAGGTTGTTGTATGTAAGGTTCTTGGTAGAGCAACTCGTCAGACTTTCAAAGCCGATGACTTTAAATCAACAGTCGTACAACTATTTGAGCATGCCTGCGGACCAGTTGGATATATGATTATAAAGTGTACGGCAACCTACAAGCATTCAAGTGGCCGTGGAGGCACTCGGGCTCACGATCTTGATGACATATCTGAAGCAGAGGCAGAGGAATTACTTGACCTGGTGGAAGCCACTAGAAATCGTTATTATACGGGCCATATGGTCATTGCCTTCGCCATACACTTTGAATTTGATCCTGCAGAGGCTGCGCGTGCAGCTAATACAGGCGCAATAGCTGAGACTTTAAGTCCTTTACCAAGCTCTCCCCCAGCTGCGCCGGCGCCAGTAAAGAAAGGCCGCAGGAGTCGTACGTCGTATCTCTAAGAGCAAAATAATGCAAGAGTTCAAGCTATCCAGAATGTTAGTGACTTTTAGCGGCAGCTTATGGAGAGATGGCGATGCATAGAGGATAACTATACTAACCAGAATAATTTCTGCTTCCCTGACCCTCAGGATCAATTAAAGCATTATAATATTACGGCTCCTTAACACGAGAGCTGGGCCAGCGCAATATCTTGATCTGAAGCTATGATTTATTGCCCTCCTAATAAGATTTGGCAATACTGGCAGTCACAGGGCGCGATTACACGGGAATCTTAAGAACCTATAAGGAAATCAGCCGCTGCAAATTGACAAGCAACCATGGAGCGATTCATGGAGATACAGGCACAGAATATGGAGATAATGATGCAGCAGTGTATGATGGATTAGATGGAGAATATGGAGGACAAATAGGAGCGGCGCAAGGAGTTAAAGGAGCGGCATTAATTGTAGCGAGATCTCCGCTAGTAAGAGCTTAATCTCTCTATACAACCACCACGAGGCCTCCACGCGCCTTTATAGTCATCTCTAGAACTATCCTTTAGATCTCCACTATACAGGATCTTAACGCCTTAAGTAGCGCCTACGCCTACACCAACTCCTTAACCAAGACCGCTGGCGCTGGGAGCGGGCTCGCAAGATAATTAATAACAATGATTGGTTAATTTGAGACCTACAACTTATGGAGGATGACAGCTCGTCAATGTACAGTCACGCAATTAAAGCAGGCCTATCTAATGGCTTCGCGCGTGGCTTTAGAGATGAGTTGCGAGCCTACAAGCTTGTACATCACCAGCGGCAGGGATCGCGCGAAGAAGAAGCTATACAAGCGTTAGATTCTCTTGGGGCTGTCTAGATAGCCTTAGTATCCTTGCCTTCCTCTATATATTGAATAAAGCGCTGCAGCTCTTCTAGTTTAATATAAACTCCATTACCACCAGCATGCTTGAAATGCTTCCTTGCAAATTGATCATAGTGACTCTCCCTAATTGCTAATTCTAAAAACTCTCTGTAAGAGGCACAGGACTGGTGGAGGAAGACCCAATTACGCTTTATTCATGCCTTTAAGACCGAGAATGTTAGTTTAATAGGATTATAATTAGGGGAATAAGGAGGCAGGTAGCGGATAATATGACTAGCTGCCTCTAGCGTCTCTGCCACTTGATTTTTAACGTGGATACGAATATTATTAAGGACCACGACCATTGGGCGGTCCTTCAAGGCAAGCGCTGGGATAAGACAATCATCAAGCCAGGCCTTAAAGTCATCCGCTTTATAATAACCTTGATGCCTGTACAAGGCAGCCAGCTATCTAAAGACATCGCAGAGCAGAGGCTCCAGGTACGACCTCTAGAGATATCAGCTTCCTCTTTAATTGCTTTATCCCCGCGCGGCGTGTAGCCATGATATCACCAGCCAGTCTTCTTATTAAATATGGACTTATCTAGGAAGACCAGGTCCTCCACCATGAACTATTAAATATCATCAAGATAGGAGCACTGTAAAGCTTTACTACGTGCCCGTGCAATCCACTACAGGTTCTTTCTAGTCTAGTTCTCGCGCTAGAGCAATCAGGATACAGTTAGTTAAGATACAGAGACATCTCGCTCATGGTAGAGCCACCAAGTTATCTTATCCTGCTGCCGCCAGCCTTCATGCAAGAGATATTCAAATAAAGCATCTTTATCTGCTTGGGATAATTTGCGAGCTCGTCCTAAGGCTCTGTATCGAGGTTTGCGCACGCTGCTGTATCGAAGAAGGTTGCTCTGAATCCGCTCAACTGATCGTAGAGATACACCAGCTTCTGCTGCAATATCTTTCTGCCTCCAACCCAGTATAAGATACCGACATATCGTAGCTCGCTTGCTCGCTGGTAGGCCTTGGTGAAGCAGGGGAGGCTTCTCAATGACAGAGGCAGTAAGGGCGTTGCTGCTGGACCTATTGACATCGCGTGGTCAGAAAACTCAGAATCAGAGATCTTATACGGATGACTGACATTTCCTATATAGGAATAGCTCACAGCTTACAATCGCGCGGAAGAACTCGAATATTTTATAAAGTGGTTGAGAAATCGCGTGGTAATGTTGTTGGGAGACAATGTTCGCGCGGCGCGCGAAATTACTACAGTCGGTGATCACCTGACGCCCGGTCCCACCTGACGCCCGATTTCCCCTCACCGACTGTTTTTTTGATAATTTTCAACAGCTTATATCTCAATCAATATAGGTTCAATTGAAGCCGCGATAGAAGCAATCAACTCGTTGAAGATTGGCGATTCAATTAATTATACTAAGATTGCGAAAGAGTTTGGTGTTGATCGGACAACGCTATCAAGACGCCACCGTGGGGTACAGCGCCCTAGGGACCACTAATATGAGTAACAGCGAGTTCTTACCAACCAACATGAAAAAGAACTAATAAGCTATATTAATAAGCTTACCAAGCGAGGCCTCTTCACGTCCCATGAGATGCTTCGGAATTTTGCAAAGGAAATTACTGGCAAGAAGCCTAGAAAATACTAGCCTAGGCGCTTTATAAAGCGTTACTAAGATGACCTTATCTCAACCTATACAACAGCTATCGATGCCGCGCGAAAACGAGCTGATTCCGCATACAGATACACTCTATATTTTGAGTTATTAAGCCAGAAGATGCAGCAATACGAGCTATGGCTAGAGGATATCTATAATATGGACGAGAAAGGATTTCTTATTAGAATGCTGGTTAAAGGCCTTAGGATCTTCTTAAAGCAGAAATATATAACTAGGGGAGGGTTTAAGCAACGCCTATAGGATAGGAATCGCGAGTGGATAACTTTAATTGCTTGTATTTGCGCTAATGGAACCTCTCTCTTACTAGGTCTTATTTACCAGGCTTCTACTAGTAATATACAAGATTCCTAGCTTCAAGACTTTGATCCTAAGCTTTATTCTTACTTCTTCGCCTCCTCTGTAAGTGATTAGACCAATAATGAGCTAGGATACGCCTAGTTAACTAATATATTTAACCGCGAGACCAAGGACAAGGCGCGCAGGTAATAGAGGCTTCTTATCCTTAATAGTCATAGATCTTACCTTATCATAAAGTTTATTAATTACTATAATACTAATAGGATCCTACTAATAATATATCCACCTTATTCAACTCATTCGCTGTAGCCGCTTGATATTAGGATCTTTAGCCCTCTCTCCACTACTTATAGCAAGAATCTCGAGGACTTTCTATATAAATTAATGGGCCTTAGTTATATTACTAAACAGGACTTCTTCCACCTCTTCTAGCTAGCCTGGGAACAGGCCTTATTAATAAGTAATATCCTTTCTTCATGGCGAACTATAGGGATATGGCCACTAAATCTAGAAATAGTTCTAGTTTAATTTAATAAGTAGAAAGACTCTAGGCCCTTCTTAAGCAATTCCTCGCGCTCTATCCTACAGGCAGAGGACTAGCGGAAGATCAAGAAGCTTTTAAATCAAGTTATCACTAATATATATAATAAAAATACTAAGAAGTTAAGCTTAACAATACATTACCTCTCTATAGAGAATATTATCCTAAAACTACGTTGCCAAGGCCTTGAATTAGCCCTCTAGAATAAGAAGAAGAAGCGTCAACGTAGGAAGCCCTTATAGTTTGAGCTCGCGGCCCCTGAGAATAGTAGTGTAGTTTTTTACTCTCCTTAAAAGGTTTAGTAGGCTCGTGATCTTTAAATGCAGAAGGATGAAGCTATATAACTCGCTAAGGCGTTAAAGGAGCAAGAGAAGGTCCATTAACAGCTTGCTAAAGAGGAGAAACAACATTTACTTAAAGAGCGAAAGAGAAATTAAGTATCCCAGCGAGAATTACGGCTACTAGAGGAAGAGAGAAAGAAATAATAAAAGGAGGATGCTCGCCTAGTAAAGGAGGCGGATTGCTAGCTTTAAAATGACTTCTAGCAGGTGAAGAAGACTCTAAAGAAGGTCTCTAAAGCTTCACGCTAGTAAAAATCTATAGAAACCAGGCTAACAACGCCTATAGAAGTCCTAGAGGCCCCTCCAATAGTAAATCGTCGAGGCCGCGAGATCCGGCTCCCACAGCGCTTTCGGACCAATTAAAAACTGTATATAGAGTCCTAATAATGACTATATTCATCCACCAAAAGATCACGCGATAATAATAATTATATGTGGTTGAATTGCTTCATATTCGATATCGCTGGTGGTGGTGAAATCGGGCGTCAGGTGGGTCCGGGCGTCAGGTGATCACCGACTGTAGCGGAACGGAACACGTCCGCCCCGCATTTTGAATACGACAAATTGCACGTGGGTATTTCGATAACGTTTGCACCAGACTGAAGGAATTGGAGCATATAATCACCAGTATACGAACCGTTCTGGGCCCACTAGACGCGGCAGGCCTGGGCTTGATACCTGAGACAGTCAAGACCCCGAAGTCTGCTGTAGACATTCAACCTAAAGGTGTTTCTTTGAGGCCCGAGGGGATCTATGCACAGAGTATAATGGGTGAATGCTCTGTCTATCTCGGGCCGCATTCTACTTTGTCTTTTATTATGAGTAATAAAACTTGCACTAATTGCTGCAAGGCTCTCCTGGAAGGCAATACCTTGCGCGGAATGCTACTTGATAATGAGTCTGCGACGTATCCATTTGTCAATCTATGGTCGCCTGACACGTTTGCTTATGATATCAGTCCAGTCTGCCACGCCCTTCTAATTGATCAGCAATGCAAAGAGTCCGTCCCAATATGTCCATTTGATACATTCTTGCAGCTGATCAAGAGTAGGCTTTTCGCCCATTATCGCGATGTGGCAGGAGTTGTTTATCCCGTTATTGGAGATATGCCGCGGTTTGAAAAGACTCTTGATCTGATGCTACGCAACAGAGCTGGCACTGATGGAGTCGTCGAAGCGGATCATGCTCAACCAAGGAGGCCTTTCAGAGTGTCGATCGCTTATCTGGGGCTACTATTTGCTGTCCTGGCAGCTGGATGCCAAGTATCTGATCTGTCTGGTCAAGAAATAAAACTTACCTCGCAAATTTATGGTAAGATGACTTCACTTTCTGCACACACCAGCAGCTGACTAGATATACATAGTATGCTGTTCTTACCAATGCCTTCGAATGACCAATTTCCTGTCTCGGCCAACGCTAGATGCTATACAGACTTTGCTAGTGCTCAGCAATGTCCTGTCAAATAACATGAATCCTGGAATCTCATATCTCCTGCTTGGTCTGTTATCACCGCTTATTATCAGTAGGAAACTAATTATGCAGGCTTGACCAGTCGGATGGGCATCACCCTTGGGTTGCATGCCGAATCGAGCCCTTTCTCTGCCGGAGAACGGTATCTCCGAAGACATGTTTGGTGGGTTATGGCATGGGAGGATAGCTATTACTCTCTCTTTTACGATCGCCCCTCGACTATGGCACTGAAGCAGCCGGAAGTCCCGCGCCACGAAGGCTCAACACCAGGGGAACTGTCCTATTTTGAAGCGATCTGCCAGGTGATATCTTTGGTCCTCGAAATGCTCCGAAGCCGAATGCTGAGCCCTTCCACAGAGTTGAACTGAGACTTTCTGCGTCTACCGGATCGTGGATAACTCGGTCGACCCTCTGGCGAATTCGCTGCTGTCGTGGCAAGTCTAGCCGATTCAGGTCGTCAACATACTCCGCCACATTTGCAGCAGTCAGAGATTCTGTGGCCGGGCTTCCAACCCAGCCTGATACGGACGGAAACTGCGTCCATCCGTCATTCACAAGATTTCTCGCAGGGCGTTTCCCACCTCCAGAAAGGAATGCTGCCATATTATCTCTCCTATCCTGCTGCCAGTGCTTTTGTCCATGAGTAACATCCCGGTGCCATTCTTCAGGGGATATATTCTGCTGTCCGCGTACATCCACCGCGGACGGCGTCCGCTGAAAAACAAACAATTTTCCCGCCCACCGGGCTAGTTGCGGGACGAGCTGGACCCCTGTGGCCCCCGTCCCTAGTAAAGCAACTTCTTTTCTCTTAAGCAGATTTAGAGCTGGGTCCTCAAGCGATCCACCAGTAACAGCATAATCCCAGCGTGAAGTGTGGAACATGTGTCCGGTATGTGAGTCGAGGCTGGTCAGGCGTGGAACTTTCGGGCGATTCAGTGGCCCTGATGCTAGAATAATAAAGTCGGAACGGACCTGATAAGTCTCTTCTGTATGCTGGAGAGGATGCTTCCGGACGAGGGTTGTTGTCCACCGGCACTGGTCTTCACTCCAGACTGTTTCTGTGACAGTGCAGCCGAATAGGGCCCGTGTCTTGAAGCCATATTTTTCAGCTAATAGCTCGGCATATTGTCTCAACTCCGGACCATACGAGTAGCGGTGCTTGGGAATGTACCCAGTCTCTTCCAGCAGAGGCATATAGACGGAGCTTTCCACATCACACATGAGACCAGGGTACCGATTCCAGTACCAGGTACCACCGAACCCCCATGCGGAGTCTATCAAGACAAAGTCATCGGCGAGAAATCCTGCGGTTTGGATCAGTCGCACCGCGTAGAGCAGTGCTCCAAAACCAGCACCGATAATCACCACCCGGGCCTTGCCACCGTTCTCGACCGGTGGTATCTGCCAGATGTAGGGATTGTTCTTGCAGTCCTCCTCGCTGCGTATTGCCGGGTCTCCGGCTAGATACTTGAGTTTGTCCGACAGGGCAATATCAGCGTATTGGTTGACTCCGTCAGCACGCAAGCGTTTTCTGGTTTCGGTGGCATAGCGCTGTATCGCCTCAGCGAAGCCATCGTCCGTGGTGGAAGTGCATGTCATCCTTGGGAGTCTTTCCAGTAGATACGCTTGTATGTTCAAGGTATTTATTACGCTCCTGCGAGGGTGACTGAGTGTATGGACCGAGGAGGACAGGCCGCCAGCCAGGACCGAATTAGTTATTGGTATCCAGGGATGGTATGTAACTATACAGCGGCCACACAGCTAACCATGCGTGTCCTGTAAGGCGGAGCCAACAGAATGCGTTATATGGATCATACGAGTACTTGTGGTATATAGAATCATCTAACACTTATGTGTTCCCTCCCCTGACCCCTCCGGGACTCACCACTCCCAATGACATTGGCAGGAAAAGGCTACATTGTAACGGGGGCTTCTCGGGAATCGGCCTGGCAGTTGTCGAGAAGCTCCTTGCCCGCGGAGCATCCGTCCGTATCATCGACATTTCTGCAGGCGCGACTCCCTAAACACTAGAAGAAGCAGAATCACAGGGCTTGGTCCACTTCCACTGCGGTGTTGATGTCAGCTCTCGAGGACAAGTCACCAAGACGTTTGACGCCATCCTCACCCACGGCCTGGAGAACCATGGGCTGGCCAACAGTGCCGGAATTGCCCCGGACAATCTGCACGCACTAAACCATCGACCCGAGCCCGATGAGATATTTTGTCGTGTCCTTGAGGTCAATCTTTACGGCACCTGGTATGTCGGCAGCGCATATCTAAACAACCTGCTGCATCACCTTTCCCGAGGAGACTGCCACCCCGGCAGAAGCATCGTGAATCTGGCGTCCGCCTCAGTCCTCCGCACCGAGCCCGGGATGGCATCATACAATACCAGTAAACATGCGGTCGTGGGACTGACCATGTCGTGGGCCAAGGACTTTGTTGGACGCGGCGACCGCGTCAACTGCGTGGCCCCTAGCATGACGGATACCCCGTTGGTTCGACAGGCGACCCTTCCACCGGGGCTGATGTAAGGATTCAGTCGGACCCTGCCTTTAAAACGGGTGGCTAGGCCAGGGGAAGTGGCCGAGCTGATTATTTGGTTGCTGGGCGAGGAGTCTTCGTACGTCACGGGACAGGTCATCCCCGTGGAAGGTGGGACGACACTTTAGGGTTCAAGCATCAATTGGATAGCTGCCTTCCCACGCATTTTTACTGTTCCGAACAACGGTTAATCACACTGTCAATGGAGAAGGACGCGGAAGCGGAGTCGAATGAACCTAATGCGCTTGACCTTTCTTTTTCTTTTTTTTTTTTTTCTCTCTTCTTCTCCACCATGGATGCAGTCTGGACCCTATGTATTTGTTCTTTTACCGAAACAAAAATCAAGGTGTCTAGCCTCCTTACATAGCCCACTTATAGGCCTACCTGCTCATTTATTGCATATTCCATCATGTCTGATCCCTCTCGTACAAGTCACAAGCATCCCCTATCATGGTGGTGACCCCAAAACCCACACCAGACGCGGCTCTCGCTTCCTAATCCACCCCCACGATCGCTGCCTCTGAGGCAATACTGCACATCCACAGCGCCATATTAATCCAAGCGCCCTTTCTATCCATATGGTCTATCCTCATCGACACCTTCACCTGGCCCGCATGAAACACGTTCATTCCCCAGGTCACCATCCGCGAACAACCCGAGTCCAGCTCGAGCTCGACGACCTTCCCACCTATCCTCCAATTAGGTACTCGCTGAGCTTCCACATGCGCGTAAATCCCTCTCAAGGATCCAGCTCCACTGTGCATGTTGTCCCCGTGATCGTGACTGAGTTTAGTGCGCCCGACACTGCGAGCAAGACGCCCGCTCGTATCGTTTGGGCTGGTGACAGCGATATCAAAGGGGCTCTGGGCGTTCCGCCCTCTCTGCTGCGTGCCGAGCGTGTCCACGAGGTTGAAGAGGTGGACGATGGAGTAACCGAGGTGCGCAATTGGGAGGCACAGGTGGGTGTCTTAGCGTATTTGGTGCGGTGGGTGTATGGGAGGCGGTTGAGGAAGAGCTTTGACATCTGGGTCCGGGATCTGAAAGTTCATATCGAGAATAGAGAGATGGACGATTGTTGACTGTTGGAAGCGGCAAAGTAAGATCCCTGAAGGATGTATGTATACCTAGCTTGCTCAGGTCTCAGTATCTCCTGCATCCACAGCATCGAAATGTTATTATATCCGCAGAAAGTAGTGGACTCCGTCCCATAATAGTATGTATACATGACGGGCGAAGCTTTTTTTGTCATTTCTTGCTGTTGTTCATTGAGCCTGCTTGGCGTCTGACTTCACGAATAAAATAGATATGATGCAATGCAGTGCACCTCCTTGTCCCACAATATATTTAAGTGTTAATATTTTCAAGTGTCTAATACTTAGGCTTGCAGATATCCTGTCTGGTAAAACAAAACAAAAATACTCTTTAATATTATCCAAGCTAGCAATCTCCAGATTAACATCACCACAGGCCATTAAGATATGCGGGCGATGATGCATTCTAAGTCACCGCAATACATATAGTTGAGGAAAAATTGCCACGGTGTACTGTATCAGGAGATCCCTAGAAGCATCTTGATTTTTAAGATAAGGCATCTTGCAGTAAGCACTTGCTTTGCAGTTTTTATCAGAAGAGAGATGCCTGAGGCACATATTAATGCCCAAATTATAAGGTATCTATGTTCACATGAAAATAAGGAATGGTCTCGATTGATCTTCTTACAAATATAGAAGATCTAGACTAATCTCCTTATAAATTAATATGAATTCTATACAAATCTATAGCATTCTACTAACAAACATTAAAAGTATAAAAGTGAATGATTCTTTCATGTATCTAGTTTGAAACTAGGGATCCTAAATTATCAAAAATCAAAGTCCACATTCAGTGGCAAAAACCTCCCTTTATTATATATACTATTAAAATCGCCACCCTATACCCCATCAGGTATAGTTAAGGCTAGGTATATATAATACATATTTCTATATATAACCTTGACCTCCCAACAGGTATCTATGTTCACATGAAAATAAGGAATGTATAAGGACCTGAGGCCTAAAGGGGTTGTGATAAGTGTGAAAGGATGTAAAGACACTTAATAAGAGGTATTAAAGATATAATTAATGCGTGAATTAATAGTTAGGTTAGTATTATAGATTAACGCTAAGTTACAAAGTCCCTACCTTCGTGAAGGGAGGATATTCTTCTATGTGCTGAGTTAGCCCCCTGGCTGACTCAGCCCACGAAGTTCTAACTATCCTATATATATATGGTAAGGGTCTTATAGTTACCCCCCCCCTCTCAAGGTCTTAGTCCCTCAAGACCTGCTTATAACCTTTAAAAAACCTTTCACGAGTGTTAAAAACCCCTTAGGAAAAAGTTCTCTTAGCTTATAAGTAGGAAAAAGGTATTATACTCCTATAACTAACCTATAGTCCCGTAAGTAGACTAGGAATTATAGGTTCTATGACTATAAGGCCTATCCTTCGCGCGAATCTATTAGCCATGGAGTAGTGTTAGGATTCTACTCATGAAGTTACTAATTCCTTGTGATATACTATTAGCCTGTTATGAACCTAGCCAAGCGGTCAGACGTTCTACCGGCAGAACATTCAGCGGTCAGAATATTATCGGGCGGATAATGTTCCTCGACGATAAGGTTATCCCCGGGATAATATTACGCTCACGATAACATTAACTACGGTTAACGTTCACCTCGCGATAACTTTACCGCTGCGATAATGTTACAGGCCTTCGGTGTTAACAGGCACAACTCCGGGCGCTTGTGAGCTACGCCAAAGATGAGCTGTTGTACGACACGGCTCACCCAGGAGCTAAGCGCCCACGAGGCAGGCCACGTGAAGACTACCGAAGGGACTACCACGAGGAATGGTAGTCGGGAAGGTAGTCGGGGGGAACTACCTCTGGGACTACCATGGTAGATGGTAGTCAGGGTGGTAGTCAGGCACGAAGGATATATAAGGACGCTCATTACCCACCTGTATCTAGTCTTACTTGTTCTTCGTGATCAATACCATTGTTATTCTAAGTGCTACCTTCAGATCATTCTGATTCAAGACCCTTGCGACAACACTTCGTCTAAGTACTTCTTGACAGGCTTTATCATACGTGGTAAAGACTGGCCTTGCCTTCGTTACGCCTTAGCCACCCCGACCGTGACTAGTCCCCATACTAGTTGGACGTTGAGCATACTTGAGTAAGTCAATCCATCGTCAGGGCTTAGGTCAAGACGATCCCAAGGTTTAGGAAGGCTTGAGAGGTCAACCTTCCGTAACAATTTGATCACCAGTCAGCACGAAGTGTCTTCGGATTGACTTAAAGCAATCATGGCTCCACCGAGCACCCAATCAGCTGAAACCAGCAACATGGCTCAGCTTCAGCAAATCATTCGAACCATGCAGGAGCAACTCAACGGCCAGGCCCAGACCATCAACCAACTCACTAACGAACTGAACCAACGCAACAACACCCCTAGTGAGGACACCCAGGGCATGGTCGACCAGCTCATCGAACAAGTCCACGGACTCGAAAACCGGCTCACTGCAAAGACCATGAAGGTCAAGGCCCCGGAACCCTTTGACGGCACCAGATCCAAGTTGAGGTACTGGCAGACCCAGATGGATACCTACCTTGGCGTCAACAAGGACAAGTTTGGAAGGAATGAAGATAAAGTTCTTTTTGCTTCCACTTACCTTACCGGAGCCGCGTACGAATGGTTCGAACCCTTCGTCAGGGAATACCAGACGACTGCTTACGACGACTTGGCGGACGACACCAAAGAGGTCTTCGGAGACTACAGTGTCTTCAAGAAGTACCTGGAGGACACCTTCGGGGACGTCGACGCAACCAGGAATGCCGAACGAGAAATCAGACGACTCAAGCAAACCGGTGATGTGTCTCAGTATGCATCCCGGTTCGCACAGCTACAGTCTCGCATCCAGTGGGAGGATGAGGCATTTATTAGTCAATTCGAGGAAGGACTCAAGTGGGAGATCCTCGAAAAAATGGCTACCATGGATAGACCCTCAACCGTTGAGGAAATGATCAAACGAGCGGTACGGATCGACAACACGCTCAGAGACTTGCGAGCAAGAAAGGGAGGTCACTTTCAGCATCGAAGCGAGTACCGACCCCCTCGGTTCCACGGAGGCAACAATCACCGAGGAGGGTATCGTGCCAACACTGGACAACGTTTCCAGCCACGAAACCAAGGTCATCACGACCCTTATGGGCCTCAACCTATGGAACTCGATGCGACCCTCTCTAAGACGGAAAGGGACCGCCGCCAGAAGGAGAATCTGTGCTTCTACTGTGGCAAATCGGGTCATCGAATGAACGAATGCAACCAACGCAAAAACAAGGCCAAAAAACCCAGCCAGGGTTCTGGACGACGACAGCAACTTAGGGCCAATCAAGAGATCATGACGATCAGGGCCACCAGGGAGGCGGATGACGAGGGTGCCCGCGGGCACCCACGACCTGGTGAGCTATCCCCGGGAAGGGCTAGAAGAACCCGTAACACAGCTGCTACCACACAAAGCCCGGATGCCGCCCCGAGGAGGCGAAGTGTGACGGAAAACCTGCGGTCGGCCATGAGGACGACAGGGGGTCGAGGAAGTGTCCCACCAACAGGAGCGACAGTGCCCCCGGCCAGGGTATCTTGGTATGACTCGGTGGAACAAGGACGAGACACCACTGAGCCCCCACGGCAGGAGCCGACAGGAGACCGACACAGAAGGATGGCGAGTACAGATGCTAGCAACAACCCTCAGGAGAGTAACGATCGGGTAAGATCGCCACCACCGCCATACCAGCAGTACACGGACGAGTCCGAAGCTGCACAACTTCAGTCCGGAGATATTTCGCTACACGAAACCTCGTTCCAAGATCAAGGGACTGAGAGGACGAGTGGGTCCTACAGAAACGAAGCCACTCAACACGAGCCAGCCCAAGCTATGGTGCACAGCTTTGACCCTTTCGTGCAAAGAGTCATTGACCCGCTTGACGAAGACTATGGCACCCAGGTAGAGGGCCCTGTACCCTGCAGGGAGGTACCTACCGAGTGGTCCATAACCCCGAACCAAAACCCCCACCAAATTTCGAAGGAAACCGCAGCGAAATGGTTCAACGGAGTCCTTAACGACATCATCAAGGACCCAGCCAAACTCTCGACATCGCTAAGGGCACTGGTTACCCACTGTCCACACCACAACCTCACGTGCTGGGACCATACGAGCAGCACCTGGAGGGAGCACACGCTCCAATGTGCTCGACACCCGGACTGGTGTCAGATCTGCGGACGGAAAAATAGCGACTACCACGAGGAGCTGGAACGGCTCAGCCACAAGCGACTCCAGGGAAGTGAAGCACATAGGCCATGTGACGAGCCATGGTGCGAATGCCGATACAGGCAATGGGGCCACAAAGAACACACCAGGCTCCCATGGATAGTGTGCCACGACGATGCCTGCTTTACCCATAACCACCTGAAGGACATTGCCAAGTACCGACCAAAGCGACCGAATATCGTCTACGCAAACAACGAATGTCCGTGCCGACAAAGCAACTGTTCATGTCAGGGGTATCAGCAACACCCAGAGCACTTGTTCATGCACTGGACCAAGTGCTACGACGACGAGTGCCTTATCCACTATGAGGCCAAGCTGGGCAGGTACATGCCTAGCCGCCCACGGCATGAGAAGGCGCCAAACTGGAAAACCGTCACCCTTGCGGCCACGCGACAAGGCAGACACCTCAAACTCATGGCAAGGGCCCAAGGAAAGCCAGTATTCGTTATGATTGACTCGGGCGCGACAGGCAATTTCATCAGTCCAAGGTGCATGGACCGACTAAGACTGCGAGGAGTTCAGAAGGAAGAACCGAAACCGATCAGCGGGCTGAGCGGAGAGGAGTTGGGACCTCAAATGCTCACGGTTGAATCGGGAGTCATAACCCTAGTGGTAAAAGGGCGACAGATCGAGCTAAGTCTCGACGTCTTCCCTTTGGGGCAATATGACATCGTGTTGGGGATCCCGTGGCTCGAGGATCACAACCCGGACATCGATTGGTCAACCAAGACAATCCGATGGAGAACTAGCCCACAACAACAGGCACCAGTAGGGGCTGGAGCCTTACGGCCTGCCAGTCAGAGGCAGAACGCCAAGCAACCTGCGGGGAGGTTGATTCCCAAGGGCAATCACGCCGCCTTGGAGGAAAGTCCAGTTTTACAAGTACTAGCAGCAACTTCACGACCATCTGAACGAGTATGGCTGAAAGAAATACCCGGGTGGGGCACCGGCATGCCAATAAGATACAGCGAAACGATCCAGATCGACGAAACGGACGATTCGGACGGAGAAAACGGGGAGAACGCTCAGGCGCTTGCAGCGACCAATACGGAAGCCAAGCCGGAACCAACGATCCCGGAAGAGTATAGTCGATTCCAGGACCTATTCCAGAAACCTGAGAGGCCGGAGCTACCACCTCGCGGACCCCACGACCACACCATACCTATCAAGGAAGGTGTCGAACTAAACTACAAACGAATTCTACCACTGAACGACCGGGAATCACGAGTCCTCAAAGAATACATCGACGACCAGCTCGCGAAAGGGAACATCCGACCATCGCGATCACCCATAGGGCATGGCGTCCTATTTGCACCAAAGAAAGACGGGAGCGACCGACTCTGCGTTGACTACCGACCACTCAACGACGCGACCGTCAAAGACCGATATCCATTACCCTTGATTCAAGAAATCCAGGACAAAATCCAAGGGGCAGTATGGTTTACGAAGTTCGACATCACCGACGCCTACTACCGCATCAGGATTGCGGAGGGAGAAGAATGGAAAACGGCGTTTCGGACAAAATTCGGCTTTTACGAATATCTGGTCATGCCGTTCGGACTAACCAATGCACCACCTACATTCCAAAGATTCATCGACGAGGTGCTAAAAGACGAAGAAGAGGATGAGGACGACGAAGAGGACACCGAGAGCGAAGAACCACAGGAACCGATGAGCAAGTTTGCTCTCGCATACCTTGACGACATCCTGATCTTCTCCAAGGGAAGGAAACAACATGTCAAACACGTCAAACGGGTCCTCAGGAGGATAAGAAAAGCCAAGCTACGGTGCAAACTCAAGAAGTGTGAATTCCACGTCCAGGAAACCGAGTTCCTGGGCCATTGGGTCACCAAGGACGGTCTTAAACCTGAAGCCTCTAAAGTGAGAGCTATTAGGGAATGGCCGGCACCAAAGAACCTGAAGGAACTACAACAGTTCATAGGGCTTTTGAACTACTACCGGAGATACATCGATCAGTACGCATTCCACATGGCACCTTTGTTCAAATTGCTCCGAAAAGAACAGAAATTCGAGTGGGAAGAAATGCAGCAAGAAACCTTCGAAGCCATGAAGGAAGCTATCACGACGGCACCAATCATGCCGCAACACAACCCAGAACTCCAGACAACACTCGAAACCGACGCATCAGATTACGCCATTGGAGCGAGAATGACACAACCAGGACCGGACGGGAGACCCAGACCGGTAGGGTTCTGGTCAAGGAAGTTGACCGGACCAGAGATGAATTACGACATCCACGACAAAGAACTGCTGGCTATAGTGGCAGCATTCAAGCAATGGAGAGTCTACTTGCAAGGGGCAAGGCACACAGTCATTGTGAAATCCGACCACAAAAACCTGACTTACTTCACAACAACTAAAGAGTTGACGCGAAGACAGGCCCGATGGGCGGAGCTGCTGTCACAATACGACTACAAGATTGAGCACTGCAAAGGCACGGAGAATGGCCAAGCAGACGCACTCAGCAGAAGACCGGACTACGAGGATAAGACCAGACAACCGCAACCAGCGATCCTGAGGAAAAACGACGACGGGACGCTCGGAAACAACCCAATGATCCTCGCGGCCACCATGACACTTTCGGGCGACATGCTCCACACCATCAGAGAGGCCATGAAAGAAGACAAACTGATGCAGCAAATCCTAGCCTCTACACCAGGAGCATTGGAGAAAGATGGGGTGCTTCACATCAAGGGACTCGTCTACGTTCCACCAGCACTCATCCCACAAACAATTCGGGAGCACCACGACGCGCCAGTGCATGGGCACTTTGGCATCGACAAAACCTGCGAGCACATCGCACGAAACTACTACTTTCCGAACATGAGAAAGAAGGTCGAGAGATACATCAATGAATGCGAAACATGCCTGCGAGACAAACCAAAGAGGCATGCACCATACGGGAAACTTCAGAACCCTGAGGTTCCACAACGACCATGGGAGTGGATCACAGTCGACTTCGTCGGACCACTACCCACGACCAAGCAGGAAAACGACTATCTAGCGGTTATATCGGACAGACTCACGAAGTATATACATTTGAAAGCAACAAAAACGACCATGACAGCAAAAGAAATGGCGACGGTCTTCACCAATACTGTTGTCATGAACCACGGAGTCCCGAAGTATATTACTTCCGACAGAGACAAGCTCTTCACATCCAACTTTTGGAAATCAGTCACCGATACCTTAGGAATCGAACTGCGAATGACAACCGCATACAGACCACAGTCGAACGGACAAACTGAAAGGATCAACCAGACGATCGAGCAATATCTACGACACTACGTGAACTACGTACAAGACGACTGGGAAGAACAGCTACCCATGGCCCAGTTCGCATACAATAACTCGATCCATAGCGCAACAGGAATGACACCTTTCGAAGCAAACTTTGGATACCACCCGAATCTCCACGGGGAACCAATCCAAAACCAACCCATCGCGGAGGAAGCCAACCAATTCGTGGAAAGGCTCAAGACAATTCAAACACAACTCACCCGAGATCTCGAGTTCGTCAACCTAAAAATGGGGATTTATTACGACAAACACCGAAGCGAGCCACCAGACTTTAAAAGGGGGGAGAAAGTGTTCCTGCTCCGCAGAAACATCAAAACTACGCGACCAAGTCAGAAATTGGACCACATCCGACTAGGACCTTTCAAAATCGACGAAAAATTGGGACCAGTCAATTACCGCCTACAGCTACCAAGATCAATGAAAAGGATACATCCAAACTTTCATGTTTCATTATTGGAACCTGCACCGACGAACGCCAAACTCGCTGAGAACGTGGAAATTGAAGACGAAGGAGAACAGGAATACGAAGTCGAGAAAATCCTAGACTCCAAGAAAATCAGCGGTCGGGCGCAGTACCTCGTGAAATGGAAAGGATATGATACCTCGGAAAACACATGGGAACCTATCGAGAACCTGACGGGCTGTTCGAAGAAGGTCCAGGAGTACCACCAGGGACTTCGAAAGTCGAAAAGTCGACGTTCTGCCAGAACGGCGACGACGGGGAGCCAATCATCTGAGTCAGACTAGGGTTGTCTGACGTCGCAGCCAGCTGAGCGACCGCAGCATCATGTTCATCAGCTAGGCGCTCGAGTTCACGGAGATCCTCGGCGGTTAGAGGATCCTCTTCATCCAACCGATCCAGCAAGGCACCATTATGGGAAATAATGTCACCCATACGCTCTTTATTGAACTTCTTCATCTTGCGAAGACGCTTTATCTTCGCCATCACTCGTTCTAACTCGGCTTCGGCGGCCTCAAGCTCGGCCGCGTATTTCTCGTCATCTCGAATCACTTTTTCCACATCGCGCGCGCCATGAAAACGCTTTTCGCATTTCCGACCACGACGAGTGCACGCAGCGCAGTTCGTACTCTTCGAATCCATCACGCAAGGAAAGTTACCAAGGGCGCAGCGTTCACAAGGGTTGTCAACAGGAAAACCGTCCTTCTCGATGAGGTCGGCCTGGAGGGCAAATTCGTTGTAACGGGAACGTTTCGCTTTAACGGACTTAGCAACACGGGACATGGTGAACCATCTCGGGGGGAATGAGATGGAAGGAAAAGGAAAACTCACCAGGTCGTGAGCGGGGGCGTCTACGCTACTTATGCTTTCGGGACGAAAGCTGAAAGAGGGGGAGATGGTGTTATGAACCTAGCCAAGCGGTCAGACGTTCTACCGGCAGAACATTCAGCGGTCAGAATATTATCGGGCGGATAATGTTCCTCGACGATAAGGTTATCCCCGGGATAATATTACGCTCACGATAACATTAACTACGGTTAACGTTCACCTCGCGATAACTTTACCGCTGCGATAATGTTACAGGCCTTCGGTGTTAACAGGCACAACTCCGGGCGCTTGTGAGCTACGCCAAAGATGAGCTGTTGTACGACACGGCTCACCCAGGAGCTAAGCGCCCACGAGGCAGGCCACGTGAAGACTACCGAAGGGACTACCACGAGGAATGGTAGTCGGGAAGGTAGTCGGGGGGAACTACCTCTGGGACTACCATGGTAGATGGTAGTCAGGGTGGTAGTCAGGCACGAAGGATATATAAGGACGCTCATTACCCACCTGTATCTAGTCTTACTTGTTCTTCGTGATCAATACCATTGTTATTCTAAGTGCTACCTTCAGATCATTCTGATTCAAGACCCTTGCGACAACACTTCGTCTAAGTACTTCTTGACAGGCTTTATCATACGTGGTAAAGACTGGCCTTGCCTTCGTTACGCCTTAGCCACCCCGACCGTGACTAGTCCCCATACTAGTTGGACGTTGAGCATACTTGAGTAAGTCAATCCATCGTCAGGGCTTAGGTCAAGACGATCCCAAGGTTTAGGAAGGCTTGAGAGGTCAACCTTCCGTAACATAGCCATACTAGTATTAGGTTATCTTTTATAAGGAGGGTATTAGGAACCATCCCTCACGCGAAGCTATTAGTTACTTAGTAACATTAGGATTCCACCTATAAGGTTATTAGAATCCTTGTGAGGCACTATTAGCTATACTAGCATTAGGTTACTCGTCGCGAGGAGGGTATTAGGAACTAACCCTTGCGTGAAGCTATTAGTTACTTAGTAATATTAGGATTCTGCCCACGAGGTTATTAGGTTCCTTCATGCCTACTTCCTTTATCTTCTCGTGGTCCTATGAGAGATGCAGAAGTCACTAATTAGTAAGGTGAATATAATGTTATGGCTTAGAAGGTTCTAGCTCATAGTAAAGAAATAGAAGGTTCTAGTAAATACTAGTTATAGCTACCTTTAGTAACCTTACTCTAATATAAATACTAGCTTGCTTCCTACTACCACTCTCTACTATAACTCTCTTCTAATCACTAGTCTTACCTCCCCCCCCCCTGGCTTTTTATAAGGTAAGCTTCTTCCTATACTTATATATTACTACTTACTTATATGTGGTTGCTTGCTTATATATAGTTACTTTCTCGCGTGTTTCACTCGTGTATGATTACTTATGTTGCTTACTAGTTCCACGAGGTAGATATTAACCACCACCACCCCTACTACTACTACCACCACTGCTGCTCCCGTTATTCCTCTAGCCAGGCTGCACGTCTCGCAGCAATTAATAACTATTAAGTAAGGTTATTTAGTATACTAGCTAAACCAACTCTATGCCATCTAGATCCCTACATGGACGATGCGTGGGATCAACCTTACGTTTCTAAACATAACGTGGGCACCTACTACTAGGGTAAGTCTACCTATCTTCTATAAGTGTGAATGCCCTTACTAACCTTATAATAGCTCCCTATAAACTTCTAGGTTTTAGGACCCCCTCTACTACAAGGACCTCTTATAAGGGTATAATAGGATATTAATCTACCAGCACGAAGCACCCTCCTAGAGTAGGCTAGTTCCTGCTTTATTAAAGAGCCCGTGGCCACGTACTATAAACCTTATATAGCTATAAATCCCATGGTTATTCCTAGCCTCTACCCTTAGATAGGCGCGCAAGCCCTATTAAACCAAGAGCTAGTATAGGTGAACTAGCTAATCCTCTACTATATTACCTAGCATAGTAGTAGGAATCCCTACTAGCTTGCTATTTAGACCTAGCTCCACGAGGCCTTCCTCGTGTTATGAGTGGGTAGATAGCCACTAGCTAGTTCTAAGTATATAGAGTATTATACTAACCCTAATATAATACCCTTTAGTCCTTGCATCTCTAAAGATATTAGGTAGAAGTATAATAACTACCTCTTTTATAGACACTATAACTACTCCCTATAGTAGCTAGCCACGTGAGGCTTATATATAGTTACTCCTCCTAACTATATTAAGCCTAGCTCTATATTACTAGCTATAATATACCCTTATACTATCTTCTACTATACCCTATCCTAAGCCTAATAACTTATCTATAAAGCTATAAGTTCTTTCTTATCTAAGCTTAGTACCTCTTAGAGAAGTACTATAACCCTTAATCTTTTATAGTTATTATATGCGCCCCTAACTAACTAGGTAAAGTTAGTAGCTTAATTCCTTATTAGTAGAGTAGTAAGTGCCGTGGGCCCCTTATATAAACCTAGGTATAGAAGGAATAGTTATATATTAAGTTATAAATATACTTTTTACTCCTATAACTATTAGAGTCCTTCTTTATTATAAATTAAATAGGGTTTTTACCTTTTATAAACTTTTCTATATAGCCTTCTTCTATAAGAACTTTACCTTATAGGCTTATAGGTACTATATATTTTTATATAGTTCTTTACTAGGCTCCACGTAGCCCTTTTATTTTATAAGGACCTTTATAGAGTCCTTAATACCTAGTCCTAGGATATTCTTAATATTATATAGTTAATTATCCTTATTTATAAACCTAGTCTTAAACCTATCTTATATATTTAGACTATCTATCTCCTAATACTCGTGAAGTATTAATATATAGAAGATATTATATACTTATAATCCTACTAGTAACTCTATATAGTAGGTACTTTTACCTATTCTTTTAATTACTCTTTATAGTCCTATTCTAAGCTAATTAAACTTCTTACTTAGTTATATACATGACTAGTTTATATTAGAAACCTAGATATAGTTACCTACCTTAAAGGTCTTTATAACTCTTTTTTAGTTATAGTACTTTACCTAGTATTCCTAAGCCTTTATAATCCCCTTTTAGGCTTACTCGCGAATCTCTATTAGGTAGGTAATATAATTATATACTTCATGGCCTTCCTCCTCTTCTCTAGAGGGTCTAATATAATCACTCGCGGGTCTATTCTATAGACTATATAAAATAATATTATCCTAATTAATACTTACCTTATATTATTATATATAAACTCTACTAGTAGTAGAAAGTCTACCTAATTATTCTAATTAAAGTTAATATACCCTTATAAGTACTACTTAAGCACGCTATTTAGGTATTCTATCTAGCTATCTATTTATAGATAATAGGCTATGCTTATTATATACTTGATTTATAAGTAATATATAAAATCAGACTAGAACCCTTTTATAAAGACTAAACCTTAGTTAGTTATAATATTTATAGGCATGCCATGTAGATAGAATACCTTATAAACTAGGAGGTAGGCTAGTTCCTCCCCCTTTAATAACTTCCTTATTAGAATAAGGTATGCTATCTTACTTATATAGTCTATAACTACTAGGATAGTATTATAAGCTTCCCATAAGCTATTCAAGTCTTCATGCTTAATACTAGTAGGTAGATCCATGATAAAATCTATACTAATCTACTCCTAAGGGTTTATAGGGATTAGTAGTAGCTATAATAGCCTATATTATTTACCTCTCTTTACTTATAAACCCTAATATACCCTATAGGCACTATAGTACTCTATAATAAACTCTTATATCTTTAGCTAAAAGAAGCATCTCTAAATAAGCTCTAGAATTCTCTCTATTATAAAGTGGCTAGCTATTAGATTATTATATAGCTTTATAAGGATCTATATCTTTAGCTAGTAATAATTAGGCATATATAGTTTACCTTAGTAGTAGAGGAGTCCTCTATAAAGTTACTAGTACTTTTAGGATTATAGGGTATTTTTCTACTTCTCTTACTCCTTCTCTAGAGCTTTAAACCTCTAGATTACCTCTAAAACCTACTATATAAAATTATTATTTATAAGGAGCTATAGTAAGCTCTTTAGTAGTCTTTATAATAAGTCTATCTAAAATAGCCCTTCTTTCTTATAAATTCTCTAAACTTCCTCTATAGGAACCTTAATCTCTATAAGGGGACTACTATATAGTTAAGGATAGCCGTCCGGGCTACTATCTACTGGGCCAAAAGGTCACTATGATCAGACCCTACGGTCTGATCTGCCTGGATCGCACCTTATATAGCTTATCCCTGACATATATACTATAGCTACTATTATAAGCATCTCTTACTTAGATGCTCTAGGGAAATTAGTATATATACTACTACCCTAAGCTAGTATTATCTTAATACTAGTAATACTCCTATCTATAATCTTAGTAGAGGGTTCCTAGGTATCCTTTATTATTATAAAGCCTAGCTAGGTAAGGACCTTATACTTAGCTCTATCTTATTAATCTTTATAGTCCTCCTTATATAGACTATCTCTTAGATAGTTAATCCTATATAAGTGCCTATCTATAGGGTTTAGTATCCCTATATAATATATAATCTTAAACCTAAACCTAGCTAAGAATTATAACTACTAAATTTATATTTATAAGAGTACCTTACTTAGTAACTAGAAGATAGTAAGGGCCTTATAATCTATAATTACCTTAATTTTCTAGTAACTACCTTTAAGGTAGTACCTCTATTCCTTAAAATACTCTATAATTATAAGTAATTCTTACTTACCTATAATATAGTTATACTCCATGATGCTTAGCTTTTATAAA